ATTGAAATGTCCATATGATGGGTGCAAAAATGCCTACATATAAATCAATAGAGAAAGCATGTGACAGAATGACGATATATTGAAATTGAAACTGCATAGATATGAATCTACATAGAAGTATCCCACATTTAATTTATATAAAAATATACTATAATTATTTGATTGCTTGTAGACTATAAGAATAACATATTTGAATGAATTTGAATAAAATTATTGCAAGCAAGGTGAAAATGCTATATTTCAAAATCAAGAGAAAGTCTACTTCGCGGTTAAATCCTTTATATAAAATGCACCAGTCTCCTCAAATTAACCAATACGAGTATAGACATACACTTGAAATTCGTACTTGAAATGCCCCGCGCCGCAAACTCATAGTCTGTCACGTCAAACTCATAAATTGAAATCATAGGAAATTGTGTTACTATATATATAGTAACAAGTGTATTAAAAGGTTGGTAATTATATCGAAAAAGATGCCACTGACAAAACCTGTTCTCATGCGAGGATATACATGTACTTACAACAACTTTAACGTTTGGTCCACCACCGGAAACGCAGCTTATTAAATCGGTCTTGATTGTCACCACCTCAGCATCGCTTTCTGCAATTTTTGTGTTCTTCGTTTTCCTCTTGGCAATTTCATGGGCGGTTTTAGAAATATATTTATCCACGTTTGCTTTGTTTACAACCATGTGTCTGAAATAACGTCATTTACAGAAAATATGAAAAACTATATTAGCTACAACATGTATACAGAATACATATCTCAGTGCTTGTAAATATTTAGAGAACTGTGTACTGTACAATTAAAAAATGTCCACATTCCAAATATATGAGTCTTATAAATATCATAAAGTTTATCAAACAGGTAGCTAAAGAAATGCCAATAACAAGACTGAGAAAGATTGTTGCAAGGTTTGACATGATAAATTTCAAAACATAGCACACTAACGGTTTCCCCTTTTCTTTCAGAGCAGGAAAAACACTTGCGTCACAAATAGATTTGACGTCATATTTCTTATATCCTTTATCGAAGCAATCGGCGACCATCTTTCCACTGGCCTTTGACGTCATCATTGTTTTATCCTTGGAACCTGCAAGGGTACAGAACTCCTGGAACTTGGCGACGAGATCATCTCCGGCGGTAGCCATTTTTTATTTCTGCAATAAAGACGTAAGCGGATGAACACAATTGTTGTTACTTTGATGACGTCATTATGAAAAGATCACAATATTCTAGTACGTTAAAGAATAGGTGCTTGTCGCCTATAGGTGTCTTGTACATAAACAATATATGCTATACGTTATGAATAATCGTTTTTTTTTTTTATTTTGAATCAGAGCGGGAGGGTTTATATAACTTTTTCATTGTTTTGAAATTATCCGATCTGAATAAGAAACGTGGTATGATATGAAAGAAGCAAAATAGTTACGTGTTATTGTCGTTTTATAAACAAACAAGATAAAGCCACTTAACTGTTTACCATGCTTGTCATATACTGTTATAAATCAAGTTATAGTGGTATTGAATGAAATTAAGCTGACCGAATTTTGCGGTAATAAGCTGCTATATAACATTTTAACTTAAATCTACTTAGATATAAATATATTTAATATTATGCAATGTTTATTGCTACGTTATGAGAAATCGATATCGACGAAGGTTTTTCACATTGCAATATTGTAATATTGCATTCATACTGTACTTTAAGCTTTAATTCCATTAAGTCTGTGTTATTTCAGTTTGTTTACCGACTGTGAACACTGGTGATTTAAGAACGGCAACATTTTAATACTTTACTGTCCGATTCAATATATTTAAGTTGGTTTGTCTCATTATTTCACTGTTGCTGCTCTGTGGCGCATACAAGATCAAGGTCGGAAAATAACGACATAGTGTGGCAAAGCATGTTCTGGCTTTTCATCTAGCCAATGTAAAAACGCCAAGACACGACAGAATAACAAACAAAGTAACCGTGTCTCTTCTTTTCAAATTTCAAATTCATGAATTCACGATTTCAACTTCACGAATTCAACTTCGAAGTTGAAATCGTTAATTAACGAAGTTAAAACAGTGAATTCACGAAGATGAAATTGGGAATTCATGAACTTGAAATGTCTCCACTGGTCTTTCGTACAAATGAGTTAAATTATCACTAATGATACCCTGTTTAATGCTTCAAACGTTACGCACGTTTTTCATGGTGTTTTATTACTGTAACCAAATTTCATGATGAAAAACTACATTGAGTCGAGTAACTGCAATAATTAAATGAGTTTTGGTGTATTTTCGATAAAGAAAATAATGAAACAGTAGAGGTTTAGAATTGGTGACTGTATAATTATATGCATAGTCAAATATGAATAAGTTCAGGTGTAGTATTATGAAATATAAAGCTAAACAAATTTCAAGAAATACTGTAAAAATTTATTTTCACATACTGCTTATAGACTAACTGGCTTTGTTATGACGCATACGCATGTAAATATTATTCATACCATAATTATATAAGAGTATCGTGGTTTCTCAAACATGTATACATCTTTTAATAATAACAGCAAATTTAGTCTCTTGGCGACTAAATCGTACCTTGTAATGCTTATAAAGTATTTGCCTTGACAAGATAAATATTTTATATACATTGTCGTTTGAAAACTTCGCTTAAATCTCAAGTTTTCATACATTTATTTTAAACCTGAAGCATTCCTTAACCGCCCATATTCTCAAGCATTTGATTTACAAAATCCGGGTTTAAAGTTATTGAAGGGTTTATCTTTATGGCAATGTGTTTTTACCCCGACAGGACAAGCCATGCTGTAATTCTAGTAATAAAGGCCCCTTTTCCTTATAAATTAAAATATATTTAGGTTATGTCGTTATGAATGTATTTTTTTTACCGTAAAGAAGCTTTTTTTAATGATATTTTTAGGTTAAATTACGTTACACTATCTTTAGGTAGTGTGTTTAACAGTCCATAAACCAGTTCTACCGTAAAGGCTTTAATAAATACCCCTACCCTATAAATTTGAAATATCTTAAAGAAACGATAGTACATGCACTCAAAATTACTTTTAATTATTATATTTACTGTTGCAGTTTTTTTTTTTCACGGTAGAATTTTAGTATACATTTGAATGTATTAATGTATTCAATGTAATGCTATGACTTTAAGTCGTATTTCTTAAATGTTAAATAAACTTTTGCTATGTTCTGTTCTGTTCTGTTCTGGTGATAAAAATAGAATCTATTGTTAACAATGTATTAATATATTTACATTTGACCGATGGTCACGTTTACAATTGGCAATAACTAAAGAAATAATCAATAATATTTTACCTAACGCTCAGGTAGAAAATGTCTTAAGAGTGAGATTTTATTGAGAAAATTACAAAGTAACAAGTAAACACAAACAAAACATTTTTACGGTAATTTAAGAAACACCAGTATCTGAAAACACATATATTTTAGAACATTCAACATCAACAATAACTTGATGACCATAATTTATATATAATGAAAATTTTACATTAAGACATGAAGGAAATTTTACTGTAGAAATGTTTCAACGGCGACTTAAGATTTCTTCACTTCGCTGACATATTAAAAAAAATAATACATGTCGGAGGCTTTTCTAATCATAAATGCATGAAGTTTAAATATACCTAACATTATTCAAATTTCGTGTATACTGGAAATCAGTAAGATATTGATGACTAAGCATACATGAATGAATTTCCAAAACGCTCACAAATTAGTTTTTTGTTTTGCAAATAACGCGCACACGTCTTTAAAGTACTCAATATGTCCATCTCATATCTCTACTTTAAATGCACACCTGATGGCTCATATTTAAAGTTTTAAAAAAGTCGTTAACTTTAACATTTTAACTGCAGGTGTACACATGGTGTATTTCTTTTAAAACTTAACTTAAAAGAATTTGTACCTTCCCTTCATTGCAAATTCTTGCAAAAAATACATGTAGTTTATAATATTAACGTTAGGTGTAAAATGGTGCAATATCTATGCCTGTAAAATGTTAATCAAATTAATAAATATTATATTAAGTCCTTTAAGTTCTTATTTTGATTAGCAAAAAATATTTTAGAATAAATGCATGTTTGTGTCGATTTATATTTAATTACAAAAAAAGGATTTGGTTATTTACCTTTTTTAAGTTTTGTTTAGTTTAGTTTAATAATTGAAAAAGACACATGCTTGCCTAAAGCTGTTCTTTATAATGAATATGCATATTCTGAAAAGATTATATTATTAAATTGAAATAAATAAATACATAATTATATGAATATTTGATAAAAAAAACAAAATGTTCATTTCAAAAACCTTTTTTTAGTTTAATAATTGAAAAGGACACTTTCTCTTAAGATTATTCTTTATAGTGAATATGCTTATTCTGCAAAAATATTATTAAATTGAAATACATGAATACATATATGAATATTTAATTTAAAAAAATGAAATGTTCATTTCAAAGACTTAATCATGCCTTCTACATATCACAAATGCAAAATGTACGAATCAGGGATTAACTCCTGCAGTTTCAAAAATAATTCCGAAAACTTATTGTTAAGTCAACTTTAATAAAAGAAAAAAACAAATTTTACTGTGTAATGGACAAGTCCTCTCTATTCCAAAATAACACTAAATTGTCGACTCCGAAATATACTGTTGGCAAGCGGGTGATAGATATCACGTGACCAAAACAAGCGTTACGGAAGGACTTTTGCCCACACGATCGAACAGTTTTATAGATATCACTAATCTCTTTTTATGGTACAGTCCAATTCAAAATGGCCATTAGCTAAGGCCATGGTCATTTATATTTTGGTTTTACATACAGCACAGTTCATTTGCGTATTTTGTGATAATTTACTTCCGGATATTTTTTCATATTTTTTTCATTAAACGTACCAATATCAAATAAAATATAGGTTGTTTTTTATTGATTTGTTAAAAGATACGCAGACGTTAAAATTGAATGTCTTATGTTTTATCAAAACTTCATGATTTAGATAATGTAATCGGTGATTAAGAGCATAAAAGTACATTCGTAATACAAAACTGAGGCACTTTGGGGGAGTTTTTATTTAACTTAACCGAAATAACACGCATTAAACTGTATTAGCATCTCTCAACATTATACTTTTAATGCTTAATAAAATTGACAGAAACAGATTGGGAAGCATGTGTTGACATAAAGAAGTTTAGGCTCATAAGTCTTGTGTAAATAATTTGTTGATTGGCTAAAAAACTGCTATGAAGTATAAAGGTCAACTATGGTTCAACTTCAGGGGTAGAAAAAAAAAACATAACAAAAACTATTGAATTAAGACAGTTCGTTATCAAAAGATTAAAAAACGCGTGGTTTACGAGTTTCCGTGAATTAAAAATAGCCAGTTATTACGCGTCACTGGGTGATCTTCGGAATGCTTTAAAATTGAGAAATTTCATTGACGTCAAAAAAAAGATGGGCGTGATAGATTTTGTTTTTATTTATTTATTTATTTATTTATTTATTTAACTATTGTATTTTTTTGTATTATTACGCCGACAACATAACAAATTTATATGAAATCGGTAAAAGCTTATACGGTAAAAGCTTATATGAAATCGGTAAAAGCTTAATGTGAAACATCATAATTAAGATCATTTGTATATTTCTTCTCAGCCTTTGTTATTATCTTCATTTATAACCAGTATGTTCAGATGAAATTATTTATTTATCATTACACGATTGGCTTCATATTCTTGAGTGAATTATATGTCTTCAATTAGCAGGAATAACTGTAGGTCAGCTCATCTCACAAATGCTCTCCAATATCAGGTTTATGAGAAACATAATAGTTCAAGGTTCTATGTCCGGTCAATATAAGCTAAGATATGTCGTCTAATCAGGACAGGGAGTGGTGGCCTTATCTTTTCACGGTGCCTGCCTCTTAACCTAGGGATCGTGGGTTCGATCCCTACTCGGGTCACGACCAAGATTTCTCATGTGACACCAGTACTGGTTAGGTCCAGTAAGCGGATTCAAATGTGATTTATATAAGTTGCATGCGCTTGTTTTATAATCGAGCTTAAAAATAAAAACATTAAACTAATCAAGAGGTCCAATAACGAATTCAAATATCTGTATGAGGGGACTATAGATATAATAATGTTCAAATGTCTCGGTTGCAACATCGTTACATGCATCGTGGGTATCCGACGTCGGGTTGCAAGGGCTAATTTTGGAATTCGAACGCCAAACCTACTATACGAAGGTTACTTGATTATAATAACAATTTAATTAATGACTGACTATCAAAGGATACTCAAAAAGTTCTGAACTGGAATTCACATACATGTATGTCTGAGGTAGACAAATGTTATGTCAAATTGTTTGACTTGAAAGGTCTACTTGAAACATTCTGTCGAAGAGCGACTCAAAAAAGTTCGGTATCGGCATGAAATGTCGAAATTGCGAGGGTTACTTTGAGATTGTTGTATGCCTGGTACGAATTTAACACCTTATTCCTAATTTGTATGATGTTTTTTGCAGTTTTATCATGCCACGTTGCATATGATATCAATTCGAGCGATCGTAAGATTCATCTCATTCGATATCAAAATTGTTGTTTAATACAAATCGTAATTTGACCACACTGATTGAGCCTATCAGACTTTCCTCGAAATTTAACTTCTTTCATGTAAGACAAGAAGGTTTTGCAGGCGACACAAATGAGCGATTATATGTGAGCCACGCGCTCTTTAATCTAAACGATAATTTATTTAAAATTTATTGATCACTGTTCACCTTTGGGGGCTTGCAAGAGATAAACTTTGAGAAACTGTTGAGTTAATTTGTCTAGATATTTGTATTCGCATTCGATTTTCCGATAAGCAGTATATTAATATTTGATACACTTGTCACATCAACGTGTCCCTAGACGGCAACGATTCAAACTGCTTACTTTATGGGAATGCACTTTGTCAAATGGAACAAGTAACATCAACGTGCCCCGGGACCTCAACGATTCAACGAGAACTCAACAATTCAATGAGACCTCAACGATTCAAACTGCTAACGCTATGGGAATGCACTTTGTAAAATGGAACAATTAGGTATGTGTCAAGTTTTGGTTATGGTCAATACGTCATTAATGACCATTCTTTCCAAATCGTCGTCTGCTGATTAACCAGGTGCATTCTGGGAAGAGTCTGCTGAAACTTCCGGTGGCTGAATAATCATTTATTTTTCATAACAATGTTCTTTCTTCTGTTCTTTTATCAATTACATGAATAATCTTTAGGAATCTATATCCCGCTAAATGGATTAAAAACCTTTTTCAAAAGAACTTCACGAAAATCAAAGGGAATGAGAAACTTTGTTCATTTCAGTTATCGGTCTATCAATGACCCAACTTATTATAATCAATTAACGGAAGAATACGTTCGTCAATTGTTTATATTGAAGAATTGATCTATCACTCAAATAAAATCGGCACTTTACATTTCCAGGGTAATAATATTGATAGTTGCCGACATGAAAAGTGGTGATAATGACGTGTGGGACATTTCTTCATACACGTGGCTTATGAATATTTAATTTTGTAATTTATTATCAATCAAGCAAGCAAAGGCACGCTGTGATGTGCCTAGTCCTACAAAAAAGTTTAAAGGGAATCACATAAGTATACAAGCAGCAATAGTGTAAGTTGGTAGGTGAAGGTCACGTGACATGAGTCCGTGAATTCGCTAGGATTTAATCTGAATTCAGATTTTATCACTGCATGGATGGTAGGGGGAAGGTTGGCTGGTACAATATCTAGGCGATACATGTATATTTGTATGAAAAAGAAAAGTTAATTGAACTTTAAAGGCAAATGTAACATGACACAAAATGTTTCCTTCAGTATAATTTAATACAGTCATATCTTTGGCAGCATTGGCCAATGGCTGCAGAAAATGGCCGAATGAAAGAATTTAAAATGTGCACCTTTGTAGACTGTAAGAACTGGCTCTTCTGTTATCTAAGATTTTTATGTCATTTTTAATTGTTTCTCCCTTTTGTTTAAAAACATAATTTATAGCAGACAGTAAAAAACAAATACAAGAACTGTATATGGAATAGATTCAAGATTCAAGATTCTTTATTAAGTAACGTAAACAAGTTATGTTTCTTGTTACATGATACAATTAACATATATACGTATTACACATGACAAATACAAAAAAAAAAAGACATGAATGATTAAACTCACTGAAAACAAGTAAGCATAATATGAGCATATACAAGAGGATGAACTATGTACAATTACAACAATATGTGAGCGCATGAACATATGATAATTATTTAACACAGACATTTTTACAATACATTTGCACCACAGTATCAGATAATTATTATACAATACCAAATAATGTAGAAATTATTATATTAAATTAATACACATGTAAGTGATTACAGGAAGTAGCCTTAATTACTTCTAAGTATAGTTGTTTACAATGTTTTGTCTTATTATAAATGCTTCTCGTATAAATTTACATAGTTTAATTACTACAGAATAGTTTGCAGATTACATAAGTTCTATAAATTTAACATCACTTGGTCTGTAAAAATAAAATTTGTTAATATAACGTTTTCGAATCTGATTGTATGCTGAACAGATACAAATAAAATGATATTCATCTTCTAGGTCACCACTGTTACAAATCATACAATGTCTTTGGTTACGTTCAGTTCTATTATTACCATAGCGACCTGTTTCGATTCGTAGTTGGTGAGAAGATAGCCTTAACTTAGTCAATGGAATACGAAGTTTAAGCGGAATGTTATCTAAATAATATTCAAATTTAAAAGAATTTTTAAATAATTTATAAGCACATAAACTTGAACTAACAGACAATGTGGCAGTCCATGCCTGAACAAATTGGTCCGTTAGTCTTTGTTTGAATAACAAAGGAAACGTTTTAATATTAATAATATCAGGATTGTTCCATACATATAAAAATCCATTATTTTCTAACAAAGATTTTACTTTAGATACCCAATTTACCTTGCCTCTTTGACAATCATTTAACATTATTTCATACATCTTTTTAACTATAATATTTTCACTGTTTACAATTTTTAGCCAGTATTTTACAATCCTGACATATCTGTTAATGAACAGCGGGTATCTGCATAGCTCTCCATAAATAGCCATAGTGCTAGTACTTTGTTTAACATAGAGTATTGACTTACAGAATTTTAAATGAATTCTCTCAATGTCTTTGCTTTTGCTAAAACCCCATATCTCGCTCGCATAATTTAACACGGAGCCAACAAATGCATCAAATAGTTGACAAAGGGTGCTTGGCTTTAATGACATGCCTTTGGTATTAGCAAGCAGTATATTTAATGCCTTTAAGCCTAGAAGAAATGCTTTTTATTTAAAGGACTGTAGAATTTCAAGGGTAATAACTCGACTGAATATTTATTTTCATAACAAATATTGGTTTGGGCTAGCAAGTGTTTTGAATGAGTTTGATGTGTTAAGTATAACTGAAGTGTCAGTGAACAAGCACGGCATCGACTGGATTTTTTTTTCGGATACCCATGATTGAAAAACATGTAACCTGTAATCAATGTTAATGGTTCGGCAGTGGGTATCCGACGATGGTTTACATGATGATTTGAATTTTAATCCTTCTATTCAACATTTGGATATTTCATTTCTCGATATAAAAAAAACTCGGCACGTTTCAAACAATGCACTTTAAATGTAGATTAAAATTTTCGCATTCTAAAATAGATCTATACACCGGGGTAACCTTGTAAAATCATTGACGCATTTTGGGTAATCAATACATGCCCATTGAAATTTTTCAGTCATAAATCATATCTGGTTTTTAACTTTTAAGTATTTTCTTTACAAAATGATTTCTATTCATTCTTAAGGTCAAAAGAAAGGTTTTTATACTTGCTTAAATGCGTTTTCTTTTTCTTTTCAATAGCTTATTGTAGATCGCCTGTTAACCTAAATATCAATTTTCCACCAAAAAAAAAAATTGTAATAACGTCATGTACTGTTGAAATTCTGTAAGAAAGAAGATTTTTATACATGTATTTGCGATCTTGCAAAATGTGCAGTGTAAACATAGGCTGTTTATCCTGCTTTATTAAAAAAGGGAAAAAGGAAGAAAAAAGAAACATGCATGCATTGTCACATAATTATAACTATATGCATTTTTAATCACATTAAAATACTAATATGTACAAGTTGTCTTGGTGATGTTTTTTATGCGGTTTTTGTTTTGGTCATTTAACAGGGACATAGTTGTTATATCTACAGTCTGTTACATTCGATGTTTCAAAAATCAGAGGGGTCTTTAAGGTTATTGACTTCGATCCATTTACACCTAGCCTCTGTGAGTTCGAATCTTGACAAAGCACAAGTTATTCTATAGGAGGAAGCTATACAGATAGCGTGTGCAAAATGAAAATTGTTTTATTTCGGTTCCCGATCAACACACATAGTTTATTGTCAGCAACAATGACAACAGATTCAGGAACAGATCTGTCCCATTTTGATTTAATACGGCGACTAGTAAAAAATAAACTGAAATAAAAAAAATACAATGTCAGTGTAGTTTAAAACATCCCCACCTCGCATTTTGAACACTTCATGATATAACTTGTATAATGATCTATGATATTTCATTTTTAATTCCAAATTTTAGAAATATCTGCGAAATTCACTTAAGTTATAACCCTTAACCTAGCTGGAAAAACAAAACTGATAAGCCTTTGCCACCAGTACTGAGCCTAGCCAGCCAGTTCATCCGCATAGTTTGACCGGGCTTTTGACTGACTGACTTGACTCTCTAATCACAGAATTAATAATGTACTTCTCCAAAAATGGAAGCTGGACAAGTCCATTTAAGGAATTCAGCAGGTTAAGGTGCTCATGTTTTGTACAATCCGAGTGTTAAATAAAATGAGACGACTGTGTTAGGAAAGAATGGTGGCCGGACAAATAAAACCATTCAGTTGTTAAATGCGAAAAAATATTTCCTACGATAACAGACATATGAAACATAAATTATATTGTGTTTACTTAAGAAAATCACCCGACGAATGATACAAACCAATTTGTCAAATCAATAACGGCTTAAAATATTTAATTTATGACGATTATCAGCTGAGCCCATGTAATTTGCATACTTATCATATATGAAATTTAAAACTCTTTATTTACTTTACTAGTATTTTGTTGCAAATTCAAGTACAGTGGTATTAGATATATGCAATGACATTGAAGTAATTTGGAAATAATGTTATTCACCAAACCTTACTGTTTATTGAGATATTTAATATCTAAAAAAACACCCGTTTTATTTACCCATAAACTGTTTTGAATTTCCTATTAAGTTAAAGAACACATTGAACCCGATTCGACACGCATTTAAAAGTTTCTGACAGTTTATTTGTCGAGGAGAAATGATCTGTAAAGAAGATCTAAATTAATGACAAAGCACGCACATGACGTGGGCGCATGTCTGAACTCATATGCTAAAAATATGTCTTTTTTTGCAATTCAAAATGCAATGCGTGTCAACTTGACATAAAGTACTGTGATCAAATATCCAAACATCCGAGATGACTTGTTTACCACTGTTTGTAGCTATATGTAAACAGAGATACAGTGCAACCCGTGCTATGAGCACTCTAAATACAGTAAAACGTGACTTGAACGTCACCTTTCCTTGTTGAACTTGTTTACTATATTTTATAGCTAATGCTATTAAACAATGATAGGACAAGTGGCTTCTTAAGCAAGATATTTTTATATAAGTGTGATCATATAAATAATTTAAGAAATAAAATGATTTCTTGCAGTGGCTAGTTGTTTATATGCAGTTTTCAGTTGCACAGGTCTGGCTGTATATTAAAATAGTACAGCCTTGTCTACAAAATACTCAATTTTTTTACATAAACTATTCCTTTAAAAAATCTACATACTATCGAAACATCTCGGCTTTGATCAATGATAATCTTATAACCGAAGTTTGGCGGAAAGGGCCGAGAAGATGTGGACGAAAAAATAAAAAGGGCTTCTTTACTATTGAAATGAAAACACGGTTCACTGTATTTTGATTTGATGAAAAATCTTCGGAAATGTTTAAACCAAACTTTAAATTTCATCTGAACGAAACCATTCAAATACTAGTAATAGGGTGTGTGAATTTAACATTTATTATGTTAGATGCTATAACGCATATAAATTGATTTTGTTATGAACCAACAATTTCTACAAAGGTTTACAAGTTATTAAAATCTTTTTCATGAGATGGCAGTTAGAAATGGATTTCAAATATTCTGCCGTTAAGTGAAAACCTCTATTTGTATGACGGTTTAAGCTTGCCAAATATTTTCAAAAGAAACTTAATAAAATGAAAGTTGTGTTTAAACACAAAATAATCCCTGAACCCAATCAAACAACTGCGACCTTGGCCTGCGATCAATGACCATTGCTGAACTGTGAAATATATATAAAGATCGATATCGTTTTCCTTTTTAGCAATTTACTGTAAAGGAAAACAATTTTGAGATATAAAATTTTGCTTACTTTAATTGTCCTTATTACCAGGTTGCGAAGTTATTAATCTGTATAACAAAATATCTTGTCAATCTACGCAAAATGATCGGTTTATTCTCCGTTTAATGACATATATATTTTGCAGTATTTCTAAACTCTCTGATAGATGTAATTGGTTCAAAGGCACATTCAATTAATTGGTCTGCAATTCGCCACGACACTGTTTGAGTCGGATGGAGGTTACAGTTAAAGACTTGGTGTATACCCATCATTGCAGGCATTTTATCTGCCACCTTGAAGTGTTCAACGGCCAGTTTACTAGAAGTCAGCGACTTTAATAAGTAATCAAGAGAGGACATTTTCCACAGAGATCCTGTGGGTGTGGATCGGATTTGTGGCCCCCAGTACACACCTATATACGCTCCCTTTGCAGCTCAGTAAATACTTTCACATTACTTCTTACTTTCGTAAGAAAGTGAGCGATAGTTGAACATTCGACCTATGTGCAGGAGAGTAACAGCTGTAAAACCAAAATAGCTTCCATTTCCGTAAAATCTCAACACATACACTAATCAAACAGACCATTACAAAGTTACTAGAGCTTATTAATAAAATAATACAATCTTAAAAACACCCGTGTGTAAATGAAATTTATTTGGTTTTAGAAGCGTGTAGTTTGGGTGGGATTGAGGTCAGAAGTCTGGTGTCTGAGTATTTCTACACCTTATAAAGTATGACAAAATTATTTATTTATAAACACTCTCAGTATTGGCGTCCCTGAATAGAAAATGTACACACAAAGATGAGTAGTAGAACGTGACGTAAATGCTCTTGTAGTATAGAATTTGTATGAATGATATTTAATATCTAAAAGCTGCGTTTGTCAAAAGAAACAATTAAAGGACAAAGTCTTAATGGAATACATTGTACTTGTTATTGTTTTAAAATGTTTTGTGTTTGTGGTCTATATATATATGTTTAGAAGGCCATATTTGAAATTATTATTATTACTTTCTAATGGGTATATAATATGAATTTGGTCATAAAACATGAAGAAGAAAACAACCCAAAAGCAATATTTCCTGATTTTACAGTCAAATCCTTTATGTATTCTGTCATATATACCCTTTTGTCAAAGGAATACTAATTATAATATCATAGCGTGTACATTACTTATACATACAAAACTTGAGGTGAAATGTATATTTGTTTTGAAAGAGAGAAGATAAAAATCAAATTTAAATGTTTTTCTACAAAGTTTTTTGTATGATTTTTTGTGTGTGAAGTACAGTATTTATGGTACTGGCTTGACACTTATTTTAATCATACGAGTACAAGAGCTTTATTCTAGACAGTTCGCTCAACTATTCCAAGTGCTGACATTCTTGTAACAGCACGAAAATGGGAAAAAATCAAAGTCAAGAAGGGGCATAATTACAAATGTATATCAAATCTATTACAAAGTATTCTTGACAAGAAATCGGAAATGTAAGAGTTTCAAACCAATATCTTGTATAGAGAGGTTCGAAGATATTAACTGAAATTATGAAGAAAAATATCTTGACCATCTTTCGTTTATAAATTTAGGGGATGGCTATATACAAAAATTTAAATCTCAAAGCTATACTCAAATTCTTTCACTGCAATTCAAAACCGTAAAAGGCCATGATCCAATCTTAAAAATACATGGCATAGTTAAGCACCCTTTCTTATATGTAAAAATAATGGTCGTAAACATGCACTAGTATTTGAATAACAATGGGGTCATTGAAACGTGTGGATGGTGCAATCAATTTTGATTAAAAATGCTGACACAGACTCAGAAGCACAAGTTCTTTCCTTCTTTATGTTATTTTGTTTCTGAATAATCAAGCTTATATAACAATCCTATACTTGTTTTAACATTGATCTATATTAGGAACCTACCTTTAATAATCTGTGAAGTAATTGCATCTCAATTTCCTGTTCAGTAATAAAGGTGAAAATGAAGTATTGATTTAGGTGCTCTTTTATCAATAGCTGATACATGAATGACTGATGAAGTATTTTCAAGTCCTAGGCTGTACAATGTCAAACGCATTAGATAACTTGTATTATAGTTAACATAGTAATGAAAATAAGGAGTATTTTTGTAGGGAACGCGGGTACTGGGTGATAAAGCATAACTTAATTAAAGGAGTAGATTCGCTTATGCATGAAATATGCCTAAATATTTTGTATTTTATAAAACTTCAAATTTTCAAGAAATGAAACAATTTTCTGGAAGAACATCTTTAGCTTGTTGATATATATGAAAAACAGTAAAGATAAAACGTCTGTTCCGTGCAATAAAATACGCTTGAAGTAAGGGCTAAAACCCGTTTTCCGGTATTTTGTATCAGTTTTCGACGATAAATTGAAAAATTTGAATGGGGCACAGGTCTCGACCAAAAAACAAAATACGTCATTGTCATTGTGGGTATTTATAATTTACAAAAACGTATCAATAATTTTGGTCGAGGCCTGTGCCCTTTACGAAAATTTATATTTTCCTTCCCTTGGTGTCTGTGCAAAAGCAAATCGAATGCATAGAAGATCAAAGATTTAAGCTGTATTTTTATAAATTTTTACTTGTTTTTGCGGTCAAGCATTGAGATCGAAAGCAATTATCATTAGTCAAATAAAATATGTCTTCTTTTCTGTCATGTTTTGTTAACTTATTGAATGAAAAGTGAAAATCCAGCCGATGATGACAACGACGACGACAACAACAACAAAGCCATTGTTTACACTTTACCTAGCAAATCTATACTACTGTAACGCTGACAGGGTTTAAAACAGTCAATAACGTGTGTTTGTTTATTTTGTGAGCATTTATTCTCGGATCTAGGAATGTATTCCAGTCCAGATATGACTTTGTGATAACCGTGACAGGGAGTTTCCAAGTAAGTATAATTTTATCCATGAAATTGTCGAAATCTGTGTTTCGTCTGCATAATTTATAAAGTCGAACATTATCCAAGTAGAACTCAGTATTAAATAGTTAGAAAAAGTGTGAAGGTAATGTATATATTTATCAGGTAATTGCCAGAATAACAAACTGAAATATGTGTCGAAAGAGATAGAATACTTAATTTAAAGCATCCAATCCGTTTACTTTTATTTAGTCACGTATCGACTTTAAGTAGTAATTGTAAAACATTTTGATTTCAGTTGTGGCGATGGCGTAGTGGTCTAAGTGCCCGGCGCATGCATGTTTTATATGACTGATCAGATCCGGCTAGTGGTTCGACCCCTGAACAAGGTACATTTTTTTTTCGTAATTATTAAATGACAGATTATTATTTAAATAATTGTTTATTAAATAAGTGAAAAAAAAATTATTAAGTATTAAATGAGAGTTTATTATTTAAATCATTATTTATTTCATGAGTGAAAAAAATAATTAAATTAAAAGTTTATTGTTAGTTAATAAAACCAAAATACAAGAGGAAATATTTTTATTTTTTCTGTCAAATCATTGATGTACTAAGTATTTTTTTCAGGATGCCTGGATCGGGTCCAAAGTTTTATGCCTGTGCAGTGTGCAAGAAAAGAACTAAACCAAAAGAAAGAAGACACATAAGCAAACCTATAAGAAAATATCTTCAAAAACGGTTATTTGTTGATGTTAAAGACAATGAAATAATTTGTAACAAATGTAGACATAAATACTATGCATTAGAATCATCATCTTTTACAAGAAAAGACAGCAACCATTCAGATCCAGATTATGTTCCATCTGTTTCAACTTCTCAATCAAAAGGAACCAAAACACCGACTAGTCCGCCATCGGTATCATTAAATATAAAAACTACCAGTAAAACACATTCAAGATGTTTAGTCTGCAAGAGACCAGGGCCAAAATTAGTTGTTCTGTCTTCAGAGGCCAGATTCAATGTGTTTATAGAACAGAACGTACTCATACCTGCTGGTTCTAGGTGCTGTCCAGTACACATACATGAAGGCCTGCTTTGTTCAGATTCTCTAGAGAATGTGCCGATAATAGAAACAGCATTTCTAAACAGGACATCTGTCCTAAAACTTATAAAACATTTAAGAGAAATATGCTGCTGCAAACAAAACAAATTGAATTTTGATGTCTTAAACGACGTAGAATATGAAAACTTAACAGGGCTTTCACGTTCTCAGTTTGATGATGTGTTTCGTCATGTTGCCGACAAAATTTATAACTCTCCATCACGTTCTTCCAGAACAACTCTAGGAATTTTTCTCCTGAAGATGAAATCGGGCTTGTCTAATAAGCTATTGTCTACTCTATTTGGAATTAGCAAGTCAAGTGTACGGAGAGCGATTGTTGCCACAAAACATGCGATGATGAGAGGATTTGTGCCGTTATATCTTGGTTTTGAAAGCATAACAAGGGAAGATATTATCAACCATCACACTAGACCGTTAGCCAAGTCCCTTTTTGATGCAAATGATGGGAAAGTTATTTTAGTTCTTGATGGAACTTATGTTTATATTCAGAAAAGTAATAATTTTAGCTTTCAAAGACGTTCATATTCAATGCACAAAGGTCGTCCATTAGTGAAGCCCATGGTTATTGTCACAACAACCGGATACTTTGTTACAGTGATGGGCCCTTATTTTGCTGATTCAAAGAACAATGATGCTTCTATCCTGAATCATATGTTGAAAACAAATACTGAAGAGATAAGGGACTTTATTCAGGAGGATGATATTTTTGTTGTCGATAGAGGTTTCCGTGATTCTCTTGAACTTTTACAAGATTTAGGCATTAGGGTGGAAATGCCTTCATTTTTATCCAAGGGACAAAAACAGATGACTTGCGATGATGCAAACAATAGTAGATTTGTAACCAAGGTATTCTGTTTTGAAAATAAATGTACTTTATAAATGTATTTTATCTTCAGATTTATAAGTAAAGACTGTATTACATTAGATCTACATAGATAACACAGTTTATCTTAAGTCTTAATGTTTGTTAAAAACAATGACTGCTTACCAAGTTATTATGTGATAATCGTTTAAGATTGATTTCCATTAATATCTATTAATATAACTAGATATTAAAAATGTTGTTGGTTCTACTGAAGTGAATGTATTTTGACATTTTAAAGCAATACTTTGGTTCTATGCTTTTAAGAATTTCACATATATGCGCACTGATATCAAACTGAATATACAGTTATGTTATTTGTTGTTCTTCGTCTTTTACAGATTCGCTGGGTTGTAGAATCGGCAAATGCCCGGATTAAAAGTTGGAAATATTTTAATCATGTTCTCCCAACTAATCAAATTCCATACATTGGTGACTACATAAGAATAGTTTGCGCAATATGCAACAAGTATTTTAAACCACTTTGCAATGCTGATAGTGATGACGATTCACGTTTGGCCTCAAAGATGCGTGCATTATCATCAAACGCAAACATATTGAAATCTTATGTTGAAGATAATAATCTTGAAAGAAGATCAGCTTTATGGAAACCTGTGGACGACTCATCATTGCAAAGTTTTCCAAGGTTTAACGAAGAACAGTTGAGATCGTTGACGTGTGGCGTATATCAACTTAAAATGTCATCAAGTTATATACAGGAACATTTAGATGGAAACTGTGAAATCCATGTCCACAATGATGATTCTGATTTGATCCGGGTACGGATCCAAAGTCGGCACACGTCATCCAGGAAATATCTGTTATGGATAAGATTTTCTGCTGCAGATATTGAAGCTTGGTATTGCAAATGTCGTGCTGGAGAACGTGTTGTTGGTATGTGCTCACATATTGCCTCTGTTGTGTGGTATTTAAGTTATGCAAGGCATTTACAATGTCAGAAGTTTGGTGTACACAACTGGGGAGAGTATCTTGCAGATGCTGGCAAAATACCAGAGACAATAGATGAAACTGACTCTGATACAGACGTTAGTGTTATAGAAGAATAGTGGACTTTGAACACTTTGTTGTTTACATTCTGCTTATTTCGCAGGGCTCTGCAACAATTAAACTGCAGTGAAGTAATAATTGTAAGATTTTTCTTTCACAAATGGATTGTTATAACAGTGGAAGTACAATTAATCCTTGAAGTAATTAATTGTAATTTACTTACGTTATTGATTTAAACATATTTTATTGCTCTTTTTGTACACATTTATAACGTTATATTATCATAATATAAACACAAAAGTAGCAAAACGGTTGAACCATGAGTTCTTACAACATCAGCAAACGGTTTTCCCTGATATATTGAATTATCTTATAATAATAATAATGATAATGATAATAATAATAAGACAGTTACAAACCAAATTGAATGATAGTACTAAACCAAATTGAATGATAGTACTTGTGTTATTGATGTAATGTATTTACATATAATTATATTGTATTTATATATGAGCCGCGTCACGACAAAACCAACATAATGGGTTTGCGACCAGCATGGATCCAGACCAGCCTGCGCATCCGCGCAGTCTGATCAGGATCCATGCTGTTCGCTATCAGTTTCTCTACTTGTTATAGGGTCTGTAAGCGAACAGCATGGATCCTGATCAGACTGCGCGGATGCGCAGGCTAGTCTGGATCCATGCTGATCGCAAACGCACTATGTTGGTTTTGTCGTGACGCGGCTCATATATGTATTTAAGAAATAGTATACAACAATGACGGCTTCATAACATTATAGTGACCAATCAGTCAGCCTGACTGAAGCGGAAGGCTAATGTCCGTGCTAATGTCTGTTTGATGTTTCGGGCTGACTGGGAGGTCAGTAAAATGCTAAGAGTTGTTTTGAGTTATTTCTTATTTAATATAACTTCATTGTAAAAGTTGGAAATCATATTGTTTAAATCACAAACAATCTTTTAAAATGCAATGAAAATTATTGGCATTCAGCTTATATTACGTGCGCTTTTTTTATTTTTCTCACCGTTGCACATTATAATAGTCCTCGCTCAGACGGTAATTTTTTTTTCAGACCGCTGACGTCATCGTGAATAGTATACCCTGTAAAGGCCCCTTTATGTACCCGAAATGCAATACTTTCATTTTTATTTCTCAAAATATTTTTTAGTTTCCAACAAGTTACTCATTGGTCTTCTTCTTCTGTTACTTTCAGCCAATAAATTAAGTACATATATAATAACTTAGTAATTTTTATGGAAGTCAAAATATTACTTGTTTCATTACTGTTTTCATTGCTACACTAATGACATATTAGTACATTTACCGGTCTTTTGTTTATGTAACAAGCATCTTATATGCTCTAAACCATTATTTAAAACGTATAAAAACATCTTTGATCTTTTTTAAAAAAAAGGTTAATATTATTCATTTCTGAGTCATACTGTACCTTTAAAAAGCCGCTGACACAACATATTCATGTAAGGCATGATATTGATAAGACAAAATAGATAGAATATTAACATAGATACCATAGACAGGTGAAATACTTCATATCTTGACAATCGCTTTACATAATATTGATTTGTTAGTGTTTCATTTCCTCAATACTTAGTCCTCGTTTTTGAAACATAAGGCTAGTCATAAGTTATTATGAAAATAATCAAAGTTGTTGCTGTATTTGAGAAGAGACAAGTTAAGATTTTTAAATGTTATGATGAATGAGATTGTAATAAAATATTGGTTGTGTCCTAAACATGCTGTAATTTTTTATTTGATATTTTTCTAGATATTTGAATATTGATAGTTTTAAGTGGCAAAATGCAATGATTTTGTTACTGCGTTATTTAGAATGTCTTGAATGTTATAAAATATGTTTAACTTTTTACTCTAACTTTTCGGCCTTTTCCGTCATTCTTCGGATAAGACTACGTGTATTTATGAAACATTGTCGACATGTTCCGATTGATGTAATATCTGTGTCTGCATCTAAAGTGATTCTATGTTTGCTTAAAAAGAAGTTTAAGCTAATTGTGTATTTATTATATTTAAGTTGTACTGACTATATATTTAAAAAAAAACACATCAAAGTTTATTGCGGTAAACTATTTATATGCAGAAGACTTATACATGTAAATTCTATTGCATATTTTTGAAAATCTTTGTGGTCGTTAAATCAGGGCTGGGAATCAAAACTGCGTCGTATCCTACAAAATGTAAACAAACGCCGCCATCTTGGAACGAAAAACGTATGTTTTTGTTTATAACTTTTTTTGTTGGAAATGACTGAAAACCAGATATATGTATTAACACGCTACACTATTTTCCGCTTCGTTCGGTATATGTTGCTTGCAAAACTTTTTTGTAAAACAAAAGTTATAGCGAACTTGCATCTCGAAGCGGGGCAGAATTTTTATGAAAATGTGTGGATACGACGCAGATCATATTGCTTTATCTATCGTTTTTTCCTTCAAATCAATTATATATTTGTTTCAGAGTTCACCATAAACTTCGAAATATAATTTTGCATCATTTACTAAAATTTCATTAAAAAGAGATGTTTATTTTTTAGAAAATAATGATTTTTACGAAATGATACGACGCAGTTGAAAATAAAATATGATACGACGCAGTTGTATTTTTGGCAGTCTTTTCAACAGGGATAATTTTGGCAAAATATTTCTATTTTATGGGATAATCACTTGCGCTAGATAAAAAAAACTCCAGATAATTTGAGGTGTATAGCAATGTTCTGTTGCTTTTGATTATTTAGAATAAATTGTGTCATGTCCAATATCACATTTAATTTGAAATTTTACATTGCTACTTTTCAGTTAAACATGAATATGTTACCTAATTGATCATAAAATGAAATAATTTCTTATATTTTCCTGTATGTTCAATCCCAGCAAACACAAGACGTCATACTGACGTCAGATTTAAGTCAGGTTCTGACGCAAACTCCTCACAGTGATTACCTCCCTTGGCAGAATTGTAATCACTGCCTTCACAGACGTCACATGATGATGAAAGTCACATGACGTAACGTCGAAATTCAAATGTAAATATCGACCGTTACATAGAAAATCTAACGTCATTTTTCTCTTTCTGTTTTATTTTTAACTTTTTGTACCTACGTCCGTTATATTTCCTCAAAAAATTATCAAAACCGTGTTTACTTTTTAAAATAAATATAAAAATTGAAAAAATTCATATCGTCAAAAATCTTGACGAAAATGTTGTGATGGCAGAGATCTAATCCTGCTGTAAGGGGAGATCACTGCGTAGGAGATTGGTTCTGACGTCGGATGACGGTCAGAAAAACGGTTGGATTTGAAAGTTTTTTTGACGTAATAATCTGACGTCAGGTAGACGTCAGAATCTAACCATTATTTAACCTTTTTCTGACCAAAATCTGACCATTATCTAACCATTTTCCGACCTCAATCTGACCATTTTCCGACCTCAATCTGACCATTTTCCGACCTAAATCTAACCAGTTTCTAACCATTTTCCGACCTCAATCTGACCATTTTCCGACCTAAATATTAACCCTTTTCTGCCCTAAATCTGATCATTTTCTGACCTTCATCTTATCATTCCCCTAATCTTTTTTGTTTCACCACGTCATAAATATTTTCTGGCTAATCCTGATTTGATCTAATTAAATGTAACTCATTCTATTAAGTAACTTTCCCTCAAATGAAATGTATAAAAGAAAACTAAAAGCAAAAAATATGTTTCATGCTTTTTTAATTTAAGATAATACAATACGATACATACAATTTTAGTAAATTCTGCAAGGTTAAATAATTTTCATAAATTAAACAAAATAAAACATAAAATAAGTTAATTACAAAACAAAAAGTATTACAAAAACAATGACATAAATGAAACTAAGAAAACATGTACAAATATTAAAGAACAAAACAATGTATGCACATTTCTATCAAAGTTTGCCTTATCAAATAAAACAATGAAAATATTATAATTTTAAGAAAAGTTAAAAGATTCTGATAATAATGTTTCAAGCAATTTATGACAGATTTTCAGTACTTTAACTATATTTCTACAGCATTTCTAAAACATTTAGTGCAATTTTGCATATTTTGACCTCCTTTGATAATTGTCAGTAATGTATAAATTGCTGCCTTTTAGTTACTTCACAAAGTTATACTATTAGATATCCATGAGAATTAGCACGAATTTTGAGGTGTGATGCTTTAAGATATGACCTTCTTTCAGCACCCCTCGTCTGTCCGGAGGATATGTAGCGTTTGTAGCGCCCAATAGCGAGTGTGACATCATTTTCACTGAAAAAAAAAGAAATTTATGAAACATGTAAAATAACAAGCAAAAATGTTTTCATGGTTATTGTAACTTAATGAACAATTTTGCCAACTTTTTATAAGAGAGCTTTAACCAAAATTTAAAGTAAACATAAATACTGAACATTTAAAAAGCCGCTTTTAAACTCCAGTTTAGTATGGATTAAAGTATGTAATAGAATTTACAAAAATCTTACTTTCATATGTTTCTTTTTACATATTCACGTGTTTCCGTCCCTCCGACCTTTGAGAGCATGTCCAACACTTTAACTACCTGAAAAGAAAATTATATTCCAACTTATGTATATATTCTACGTTTGAAATAGAACAGTTACGCAAGTCTTAAATATTTCATAGTTTTAAATTAAAGATTTAATGCCGAAATGTCTGGAACCAAAACGTCTTGCGTTATTTGGGACCGGAACGTTTTGGGTTATTTGGGACCGAAACGTCTTGGTCCGAAATGCTCGAAATCGTACAAATTCATTCTCAATTCTCAGATTTTAACTGACAAAAACATCACAGTTTAAGAAAAATATGAAAACTAAGCATTCGCTTTGGTAGTACTGAAAGGCATATTATAAACTCTTCACAAGCAGAGTTAAAAACATGTCAATTTTAAAAAGATTTATTATTAGACATTATCGCGAATTTGTGTGACATTTTACTTCAGCTGTTCAAATAATGATAATTAAATTAAGAGTGCTTGCAATCATGCAATTATTTATCAAATACAAAGTAGAAATAAATCTAAATAAATTGAACTGACCTTTTTGTTCAAGGAAATCTATAATATTCACTTATCAATGCATCCCGATTCCTGACCGACAGCCAAAACGTAACGCCTACGAATTTGAATTTCCATCCACGTGACTTTAGATTCGAATTAAAGGTTAATTATGTTTTCTTTCCCTTTCCTGTCACTATGATTAAATGTTAAAGCACTATTAAAAACTCGTAATTTTGATACATATAATGTACCACAAGTGATAATATTACAACGTTAAATGATTGGAACTTGTAAACAGATCTGTGGCTATAAATAGATTTCATAGCAATAACACATGTAACTTGCGTATATACAGCGCCACCTATATGTTTTATTAGGTTGCAGCGCCGCGATCTTGGTCTGTATTTAGATAAGAACACTTCATTTGTAATCCAAATAACATTTGAAAAAAAGTTTAAATGATTACAACAGCGAATAAGGATTATTTTTTTGTTATTTTTTTACCTACCGTCAGGACACCGACCATAACCTGACGTTAGTACGACGTCAAAAAGAAACGTCTATTAGACATCGGTATTTTAACGTCAGATTTACGTCGTATTTTGGTCGCCGACGTCGTGACCAAAATCTAACATTAATCCGACGTTATTTTAACGTCATGTGTTTGCTGGGATATTATCCCTAATTCTTTTTCGCGAAAAAAATGTATAAATCTATTTAATATAAACTTGAATTCATGTTGGCTAGCTACGCTCTAAGTAAACTGTGGTTCTGCATGTTCTGGGTAATGACTGCTTTTTTGTGGTTTGTTTTCAAACTTTCACTCTACACATAAGCTTTACTAGGGGCGATGACCTCATGTGCGCCTTTGTGCATTATTTCAGGCAAAATGTTGCACCTTCAGAGAACCATTGACATTTTGAAACTAGCTTGATAGGTTTTCCACACGAAAGAATAAAAAGTCCCTGGTAGTTTTCGCATTCATAGACGTTCAGTTCAAGTGATTTGAATTCAATAAACATAAACAACTCGGCCTCAGTCGGACACACCTGTCGGATTTGTTTTTTCAACAAAATTTGTTAACGTCAGCTGTACAAATAAGCTGCTTTTTTATTAACTTCTGGCGTGAAGTTTTAAGATTATAAATATTTGAATTAATGATAAAGAGAATAACATTTAAATTTCTTATTTCGGTATGACTAGCAGAGAAATTTTCAATGTAAACAGGGGGTAATCCTCTGTGAAGTCATTTTCTGAAAACCTTTGTTTAAGTTTTCAGGCAATTCATTATCAAATAAAAATCACACTTTAGTATGAAGGATGTCTCTAGTCTGTTGAAAATTCGATGCGATAATCTGACCTAAATTTTCTGTTCAATATTGTGAAAACTTCTTCAATACTGTTGAAAGATCATGTCTGCCTATATCTGCATCAAATTTATCGGTGCACAGCGTAAAATACCTTTGCAAAACGGACACCTTCTTTACAAAATAATCTGTAGTTGTATCATATGTAACTCGATTTTGAAAATTTAAAGTTTTTTAATGGAGAAGAATGATACTTAAGCGCAAATATAGAAAATACATTCCGTAGACCTTTCCTCATCGGCGATAAAGAAATGCAATACGATAAAATCAAAATTCAGCGGCGCTGAACATAAAATGACTAAACGGAACGCATACTTGCAAAAATATCTTGTAGCTTAACCATTTATATATAATATAATTTAAAAAAATAATGTTCAGTTTCAAATAATAAAGCTCATCTGTTCTCACCGATTATTATAAGAAAATGAATACAATACAATCGGCACGTAAAAGACATTGCTAATTACAAGTAACAAAGGTAGGCATGCAATTTGCGCATAGCTCTTTTCCAATAGACCTTTTCAATATATGTAATTCTTTTTTAAAAAAACAAGGTCATTCCTGATTAATACTAGTACAGAGTCCGGGAGAGGTTACACTGGAATATTGAATTTTGTATCAAAAAAAGTAATCACTCCCAATTCGAACTCACGGGAACAATTTTAGAACACTGGAACACGTTGACATATGGGTGTGCGATCACGTGTTTCAATGTATATTGCATTTGATACAGCTTTTCGGAATTTTTAGATGCTTATGATGGGTACATAAATGCGACCGAAAAATGCAGCCTAAATAGAATTGTATTACATTTCCATTTTTATGGAACCAACGAGTGGCCTCTGCTTTTGACTTAAGTTGTAAACAAGAAATGTTGTTGGACGTTATTAGCATACCTAGCACATAATTTAAACAGTTTAAAACCAATATGCAGCCTGCAATGAAAAAACAACTGCGTCGTATCATATTTTATTTTCAACTGCGTCGTATCATTTCGTAAAAATCATTATTTTCTTGGAAAATAAACATCTCTTTTTAATGAAAATTTAGTAAATGATGCAAAATTATGTTTTGAAGTTTATGGTGAACTCTGAAAACGAGTATATAATTTATTTGAAGGAGAAGCGATAGATAAAGCAAAATGAACTGCGTCGTATCCACACATTTTCATAAAAATTCTGCTCCGCTTCGAGTTGCAAGTTCGCTATAACTTTTGTTTTACAAAAAAGTTTTGCAAGCAACATATACCGAACGAAGCGGAAAATAGTGTAGCCTGTTAATACATATATCTGGTTTTCAGTCATTTCCAACAAAAAAAGTTATAAACAAAAACATACATTTTTCGTCCCAAGATGGCGGCGTCTGTTTACATTTTGTAGGATACGACGCAGTTTTGATTCCCAGCCCTGTAAATGTAAATTGATTTTCTTCAGAATAAAAGATGGACACTATCCATGCAATAGTTTCATGCAGCAGTTATTTGAATGTCACACATGTTATAAAGTATGCTAGATTGTTTATTTTGTATGATCGGCATTTTTGTTATTTTTGTTTCGTTTCGTTTATAGTTCTGTATTCAATTTGTTAGATGATGAAACATGTCAGTTTACGTAGCTGTTACACTAAGTAAATGATTCAGTGTGTAACATAACTTTATCACATAACGCATGCCGCTTTTGCTGTTACATTAAAATAGTATTGCACGGCAGGGTATATATTTTGACGTGTCGTCCTTTGCGTTATACGATCATAGCGTAAAGACGCATGAAATGTTTGCGTTACACTATAATTAAGTGCGTCAATGAAAAAGTATTACTCTTTATACTGTAAACAATTTTTATCTTTGACATGTGATAATTTAAATAGATTATTATGACATAAACATGTAAATAAATTATTCATTTAATACCTCCAGTCATTGAAATATATTACGTAAACTGGACGAGTTTGTTTTCATTTATGTTTCACTCATTTTAAAGTGAATATTGTGTTTTTATAATATTGTAGTAAATAAAAGAAGCAATTCTTTTTTCTCTCCATAACTAAAAAGAGATTTGTGAGTCATATACCAGCGTTTCATATTCCAAATATTAATATGACGTTACGGCGTCGTTGATTGACGTTGCAATTTTGACGTCAAAATACGTTACAATGGGGTCAAGTATAGAGCCTAAAAATTGACAAATTGGAAAAAATTATACAAAAATCAACAAAAACCTACTTGGGACATATTTTTTATGTCATATGCTCAAGTTTTATCGAAATTAAAAATTGGGCCAATTTTCACTATATTTGAACATACTCCTTTATTTTATATACAATGTACATACAAAATGTATATAAGCTTTCGCTACTGTAAGTTCGAATCTTGTAGTCGGTGGGTTTATGCGAATCATGTAACCGGTGGGTTAATGCGTAAATGTGAAGTTTATTTTACATACATGTATAAGCATTCGCTAGCCTACTGTGAGTTCAAATCTTATCACCGGTGGGTTAATACGTACATGTACGAGTATACAGCCGTGAACCTACGCCTCTGACCTAAGACCGATAGTTTTACCTAAACAAGCCATGATGTTAAACTTTAATCTGCTGATTTGACCAGCTTTGAATTTGGAACAGTCCATCAAAAATTTGAGTTGAAGGGAATTCAATATCAAAATTAAGAAGTTGAGCTACCAACATAATATAGCCTGGTCAGACTGCGCTGCAGACCGGCCTGGTTCTGTACTGGTGGTAAAGGCTTATCAATTATGATACCGTCAGGTTAAAGGCTTAAACACTTATAGCTAACACTATAGTTATAGAGCCTGACGTGTAACAACTGGTATGGTAAATATCAAATTATCATACTTGCCTATCCCAATCTTTATTTTATTATTCATTTCATTTGACAGATTTTAGACTATTAAAATACAGCTTAGCCTTTATCTGCACGTAGGCACATTCGTCTGGTTTTAGTAAACAAACATAAACAAAACAAAAACAGCAACAAAACAGTACGAGAATATTTTTCTTAGGAAAACTGTTTGACAGAGGTCGATTTCATAAATGAAAAAAAAATGAAGTTGAAAATTATACATGACTCAGGTAATTTTTATAAATATTAGTATTTAGTTTTTTTTATCGATTTCGATCGAACAAATAATGTATGTATTCATGCAAATCATGTATGTGCAGGATCATGGGAATAAAACTAATTTAGCAGTTTTGTTATCTGTTAAAGGCTCAGCACGAACGCATTTCAATTCTTGCGGTGACTAGTACCTTTGTTTTCTTTTTCTTTTATTGGGGACTCACATGTTTAGTTGGGATTTAGTCACGTTAATATTACACGCAATAATATGTACTAAGAGACTTTCTTGCAAATTTGCTTTACTGGAAGTGAAAAATCTCCCAACTTCCGTTCTTGAAAACATTTTTAACTTTCAAAAACGGATCTCGAACTAACAGTTGTGCATTTTTAAGGTGCATGATTTTTTTCTGCGTTTTTTTAGGGTAACGCAAACACTGAAATGACCAATATGCGACTTTCCAGCTTTAATGGTGGTGGAGGACATCAGGTGCCCCAGGCACTCGCGGATAGCTTCCTCACATGAAATAACAGGGTTTGACCCCAAAAATGGCGAGGTGAAAATGGTTTTAAGGGATGTTTATTTGTACGATTTTTTTTTTATAAAAGATAATATAGCGTTGTTTTCTCTTGTTTATAACCTAGGGACATTCAACTTCAGTGTACTGGATTAATCTTAAAAAGAAAAACTACAAATTTATTACCTCCCTTTAAAATAGTACATTCATAACCAACGCAATAATGCAAATTTTATGTTAATTAATGTACGTGATTTAAAAGAAATCAAAGTTTTAGCATAACGGGGCTTAAATTCAGCATTTTGTAAAGAGATAAAGAAAACTTCTATGGACGAAAGGTTATGACTCAACGAAAAACAAAAATTTCGGACATGTTTAAATTTGTTTTTCTTCATTACAAATTCGCTACTCTTCTAAGTACATTCAATATAGAATTTATAAACCCTCTTTAATCTTTGACACTATTAAAATGCCCCATAAAATATCATACACTATCAAAAAGCACAACTCGGAGTATTGATTAAATCTTCAAATTTAAGTGGTTTCATTTAGCAACTATGGACTGAGATGAAGTGTTTACGTTCTTTACGTCCGATGAATTCAAGATGTAATTTGGTATAAACCGGTTACATTATTTCATACGGTTTAAAAAAACTTGATTTTTATAAAGTTCGCGGTACATAGAAACAAACGAGTGCATTGTACAGAATACCTACTTTTCATTATCCACTCAGATAATATTTATTGTTAGTATGCAAATATTAATTCAGCTAGAATAAATATAGATGTATAGAAGAAGGGAAAGTAAATATTATCTTAATATATGTAATAAATTTATATCTGAATCGACCAATGATCATTTTTTGTCGATCGTTTAACATTCAATGTGTAATAATAAATTTTGTGGAATATTGGCTACAAGTTTCTTTTCGTATTTAACATTTGTATTGAAATGTAAAAGTCGAAGTAATAGCGACATAAAAGTAATTTGATTTGAAGAAATGAATATTTAAAAACCTATGAATTTATAAATATTCCCACAGTAAGTGGTCCAGATTTTAAAACTTTAATAACTTCATACATGGAAGCAACAAATAGCTATACTCGTAAATATCAAGGAATGCCATATGCTCACTATTAAATGCTCTAAAATGCTATGTTGTGCAAAAACTAATTAGTCAACATTCCACATACATGTATTGTCCGTATATATAGATTTGAAATAAACAGTAAATATATCATAACAAACATTCATATATGTATGCAAAACCCGCAGATATTTTAATCAGCTTACAATATTATTTGTCACCAGAAACACAGAGCATGCGCGGTCCCATAGTGGGTCATGACCCCTACCAATGATTTGGCTAGTTCGTGGAACCCATTAGAGATCACCAAACATTTTATTGCAAAAATCACCAAATAACGCAGAAACAAGTGAAAATCAATATAATTCTGACCTATGACCTCCTCTGAAAACATTGTAAAATGTTAAACCCTCTGAATATATATGCATTTGGAAATCTTGCAGACTCCCCCCCCCCCCCCCCCGGTGAAAAATCATGGAACCGCTGTACGGAGTTCTAACCATATTACGTTTTTCCCCATTAAGTGCTGTTTAGGGATGATCAATAAAACCGTGTGCAAAAAGTACATCTTTTAAACACAAGTCTGTATAACTAGTCTTTATAACTAGTCAAATTAACAAAATGTCTATGCTTTTATCGGTCCTACGACTTAATGTAAACAAACGCAATATGGCCTCTGTAATAAATAAATTAAGTATTGTCCTATTGTTCCATAGAAAATTGATAAAACCCTAGCATTCAATAAACAAGATTTTAATGACAGCTATAAAATCAATCACAACCCTGAAAAATACAAGTACAATGGCGTTTCAATCACACAAATAAGTTAGACAATATTCATTTCGATTGGCAATATCTATTTTGGTTTTATGTCTTTTGTCATACGATGTGATTGTTGCTTCTGTTCTGATTCAAATATTTATCACTCACAACTTTTGATCGATAAAGCAAAAAAATAAACTCTCATAAAGGGGAGACTACTCTAACAATTTGGTTTCTAAACTTTACATGATTTACCGTTTCATGACAAATTTCTTTAAGCTGGGATCTTTTGTCCCAGCTTTAAGTTTATATATAAAATAAATCAACATTAATGAATTTTCACATCTTTTTATTTTCATATTTATTTACATTAAGTTCTGGTCAATACAATAAAATATTTGTTATTATTTGTTTATGTTTTTTTTTCTCATATGCGGTTATGCATAAAACTTTTAAAGCAGACAATATGCATATACATGATGTTATTATATTTTTATTAAATAGAAACCACCGACTCTATACCATTCGGACATTAACCATACCTTACTAGTTGAATTTACAGTGATCTTTTCGCCACATAGTTATCTATCAATAATCATATAAATTTACATTCTCATATTCCGCAAAAGCATTGTTAATTATGCCTCAAATGCTCTTAAAATTGTTTGCTAAAATCACTTCTCACCAGTTTTATTAACACACATATTTCTTAAACTCCCCATTACACTGTTGATCTTGATAAATTTGATGGCCACATAAAGCAGCTTTTAAAACTGCAATAATTACCATGTCAACAGTCATTATAAAATGACATCATGGCTTCAAATGAACACCATACACAATAAAGATGGCAGATATTTCCATTGCAGTTGATGGGTCAGACTTGTCTATCCATTCTGTTGAGCTCCCATCCTGTTCGGGTCCTGGGATGGGTAATGCATCTGCGGAACCTGGCCACGGGGCATGACACCTGGTGGGGGTCTCAACGGCATCATACCAGGGGGAGGGGGTGGCAGTCTCACACCTACAAAACAAATAAGCAGTGATTAGAAAAAACTTATTATATATCTCATGTATTCTAGCAAAGAACTGAACAGAAAAGATGTTTGATGACCCTAGTCTTATCAATATAAAAGAAATCTCTGTAAGGTACAGAAAATCAGAGACAAATTTCCACAATTTTTTTTATGGATGCATGACCTTAAAAACAATAAAGGATGAAAAAATGACAGTTAATCATAGACAAACTAACTTGATAAAATAAAGTTTAAGATTGAGAGAAAAAGTGAAAATCAATTTACTATAATACTTAATTTACAATATCAAGTTTAAGCTGGACATAATTATTTGGTGGAGGGGAATATTTTTAATTTATATAAGTATATATTGAAATATAAAATCTAATTTGAGCATATTTACCTGGTGGTGGAGGACCTCTTATAAACATGGGCATCATATGAGGTGGTCCTCTTGGTGGCATTGGATGTCTCATCTGCATGGGGTGCATTGGTGGTGCCCCGCTCAAATTGAAGAAATTGTTCGCTAATTCCTCTGGCGGGTGTGGTAAAGCTGAAATACAAACATTGCAGTTTTGAAAAACTGAAAAAGTTGTTTTCTTTCATAGATTTATTATATATTTTTATATTACAAATTATTTTTTGATAAAGTCAAATGGCATTTTCATTTGCTTGAATAGTAAACATGAAAATACTGCACTTTCAGGTTATATTGAAACTGTTTAAAGAAGGCAATGTTATTTTTTCATGGTATTGCATAAATTTGGGACTTTCTCTATGCAAAGTTTCAAGTACCATCAAACACCTTTGGAAGTCTTTTCCTTACAACACAAATAAGTTCTCCTCTTATATTTTCTCACCACCAAGATGGCAGCTCAAGTCGGCATGCTTCCTTTTCTTATTAATGGAATATACCACTTGTCAACAATTGCTTATTAAGACAAAAGCATGCTCCATTTAAGTTTTGTAAAACCATCATTTTTTATGTATGTATGTATGTATTTCTGAACACTTTCTAACACACAAATATTCTAACAAAAGATTTATTAAAATAATACGTTGGCTACAAACCCTAAACAAATTGACAAAATGACTTTTTTTGTATATCTCCACAGAGGCTTAAACCCAGGCAGTCAAAAAATAAAACTTTTTCAAACCTTTGTTACAAGAATAATAAATACCTCCAGGAAGGCCAGGGACCGGCTCAAGATTCTTTTCTTCTTCTTTCTCCTCTTCCTTCTCTTGACCTTGTTGACCTTGAGATTTCCCCCATTTAATATTCAGTCTCCGCCCATTTAAAATGAGTTTGTTGAAAGACTTTTCTGAGGCTGCCTCGGCAGATGAACGTGATGTAAACTGTACAAATGCACATTGTTGTTTAGCTACCACATTTATTGAACGTATTTCTCCAAACTGATAGAAATAATCTCTGAAAAATAAATAGCAATACAAAATAACCTTAATTTTGGTAAATAGATTAAGACTGCAATAAACTGTAAGAAAAATCAATCTTTTTTTGCAGTCCAAGTTACCCAAATGATGAGTTAATTATAGAATAACATGCAATCTTAAAGTAATATTATGCATATCTTTAAATATAAAGTTGTGAGCTTCAGAGCACACTATACACACTGTGTCATGTACCTTTACATGGGTTAAACAGCCTTATGGGTATATGAAAGGTATTTTACTTCAGAATTCTAGGTGAAAATGTTTGAAAAAAGGCCTGCTTCAAACAACAGCAGTGAGGGACAAATGAATCCAAAACTATAAAGAAAGAGAACAAAATCTAAATAAATTTATAATGACACTAAAATAACTTACTTAAGATCTTTTTCAGTCACCTTGTCTCCCAGACCACCGACATACAATGTTGTGATAGTTTTATCTTCAGGGGACTCCAGTTTAGGCATGGATGAATATCTGTTCATTAGCTTGTCGGCGACTGGATCATTTAACCCGTAGAATCTGTCCTTGATATTCTGGTCAGCCAACGGGTCATCTGGATCAGTCGGCTTCTCATGTCTGTAAACAATGTCAATGTTATTTTTCCACTTTTCTCTCTTTTTGTACAAATGTGTTTAGAAGGAGGTTTAAATATCAAGTCTTAAAAGCACTTCACATTCTGATATCACTAAGCACAGTGTCTATTCGAAAAACAGGGGGTATTGTTATCAAAAAAGTGAGAATTAATTTCATTTGTTGATCTTTTTCCTTCTTTCTCTATGTAAAATTTCCCCCCTGCCTGTGGAAAAATAAGGGGGGTGGGGATTCTCAAAAATATATAGGGGTGAATATGAGTCAATACCCCCTTCCCCCACTCCTAGAATAGACACTAAAAGCAGTATTTTCACCAGTCTTTTGTGAATGGGACTGGGGCCCTTTTGAATGGTGAAGTCAACTAGCTTTTGAGGAAATCGTTTCTATATTGTTTATAATTTTTAAAACAAATTATTTACTAATCGTACAATACCTGTATGGGCACTCCTCTCCTCGTTTACATTCGCCCTTCACCCAGAATGAACAGATATGTGGTCTATTTCTCTTATAATAAGGTGTGGTCCTGGCCAACTTCAACAACATGTCACTCGGGGCCATTGCCTTACCCAGGGCACCTGCTGGGTTCACCCCTTCATTAATTGCCATCTAAAATGTATAATATACATGTATTTAATTATTTACCTGGATAAAGCCAATTTTTTTAAAGAGGTATGAAAACCTGTATAAGAAGTTTTGATTAGGGGGGAGGGGGGTTTGAGTGTCATTGGGTTTTAAAACATACTGACACTGGGCAGTGAATTCAAAGACTTTCCAGCATTACTAGTGTTGAAAGACCTCTGCTTATCATCTACCCATCATTTTAGGCATACATAGACATTTAAGTAGAAGCATCGGCTATCAATATGTTGGTAAAACATTTTACTCACAAAACCAAATCTCACATCACAAATGGGTCTCCATACTAGTAATTTAAATAAGGATAAATGTGTCACAACAGCAAGGAAAATGAGAAATATGAATAACTATATTCATTTTCGCTATTATGGGTCAAATATGAATTTTAAGCAATTTGGACTTTTGGAACAGGCCTGTCTTCAGAAACTATTCACAGGAAAACAAACACACTAGGGAGATTATTTTGTTGACCTGGGTTTAAACTCACAAATAAGTGAGACATAATATCAAGTTTTATTTGGTGACTATCTAGCTTCAAGTGTGAAGAGGGAGACATCAGGTGCTTTACTTCAGACACAAGCAGTCATTAAAGTATAGCCAAAAGCTAGCTGGATAGTTTTCACACATAAAAGAGGTAAGTTTCTATAGGAAAATCTGATTTACCTCCCTTTCCATGTTCTGTTGGTAAAATTCTTTGTTGACATCAGACTTTGGCATGTTATCCTGTACTTTCAGAGCAGCATCTCTCACTTGAACAGGCAGACCTACAAAGATTACATATATATTTATTTGTGTTCTGCAATTATAATACACACACTCATTTCACAAAAGACCAACACCAAAATAGGCGGTAATACAACAAATGTGTAAATATGCCAGGAAATGTACTTCAATAGGGTTTTCATTATTAACAGTTGAAATGCTGTTAAAAATCGGTTGTATTTTTTAGCCTGTAGATTAAAATATCCCCCTTGACAGTTGTTTTTAATAAGCATGTCTGTTGCTACAGATATAAATGAAAACCCTGCTTCAATGTCATTCAAATCAATAATTGGAATTTAGTTTAAATGTACAGTTATGATTAATGTTCATGAAACTTATATGAAATCATTCTAAAGTGTCTACTTCCAATAGTTAACTAGAACTTGTTTGTTTCATTTTACGCCTTTTCCAAACAGTATTTCAGTCATATAGGCGGGTAGTTTTCTAACCATCGTTCCTGGAGAGTTACACCAGTACTAAACTACCTTTCTCCGTGCTAAACTACTAAAGCATCTCCCGGGGATCGAACCCACCCCAGAGAGGTAACTGGATTAGAAGTCATTGACTCTAACCCCTTGACCACGGAGGCGGTTTTAACTAGAACCGGTGTCATATGAAAGAACAAGGTCATTACATGAGTAGGTCTCATATCCATTATCTAACTAGAACTCCGCGAGTCGGATGTGTCGCCTTGTGAACAATATAGTTTAAGAGAAATGGCAAAGACAAAAATGAAATTTGAAAATCAACAAAGGGCAATAACTCAAAAAATAAGAAATGCAGATCAGCAGTTTCTGTGCACTGCACTTCTTATCAATAAAATCTGTCATCCTATTAAGTTTCAAGTCTAAAGCTTTTATAATTTATGAGAAATGGCCTGGACAAAAATAAAGTATGAAAATTAACAAAGGGCAATAACTCAAAAAATAAGAAATGCAGATCAGCAGTTTCTGTGCACTGCACTTCTTATCAAAAGATCTATCATCCTAATAAGTTTCAAGTCTAAAGCTTTAATAATCTATGAGAAATGGCCTGGACAAAAATAAAGTATGAAAACTAACAAAGGGCAATAACTCAAAAAATAAGAAATGCAGAGTACCAGTTCTTGAGCACTGCACTTCTTCTTAATGAGATCTATCACCATATGAAGTTTCATGTCCATAGCTAAGACTAAGCTTTTATACTTTAGGAGAAAATGCCTGGACAAAAATAAAGTAAGAAAATTAACAAAGGGCAATAACTCAAAAAATAAGAAATGCAGAGTACCAGTTCTTGTGCACTGCACTTCTTCTTAATGAGATCTATCATCCTATGAAGTTTCAAGTCCATAGATTTTATACTTAAGGAGAAATGGCCTGGACAAAAATAAAGTATGAAAATAAACAAAGGGCAATAACTCAACAAATAAGGAGTACAGAGTACTGGTTCTTGTGCACTCCACTTCAGGTCATTATGAGAAGCATGCATACCAAGTTTGAAGTCAATCTGACTTATAATGACTGACTTATGCTCCGGACAAGCTTTAGGGGACGCCAACACCGACGACGACAACGACACCGCCGACAAAAGTAACCCCTATATGTCGTCTTTTTCAAGGCGACACAAAAATTGGCTTTTACTTAAGCTGTACATAGACATAATTGTTCAATACATGAATCAATTAAATTGAGACCTGTACATTTAATTAGCAACATTTAGTTTTTTTCCAGTCCATCTTTTCACATTTCCAACTACCCCTCCCTTCCCCTGAATCCCTCTTGTAAACAAATGACAGCTGTTTTTTTTAAAAATATTACTTTAAAGTCTATCTACAACAATTATATATCTATATCTTAACACAAGAGCGATCAGTAATTACATGTGTCGCCTCATAATGGCCAATTTCATGTTGGGACAAATTTTGTGACAGACGGACAGTGCACAACTAGACTTGGTACTGATCAATCATGTAAAGTTTGGATAAAATTGCACCAGTAGCTTATGAGGAGTAGTCCGGACAAGCTTTTGTGTATCTGGCAACACACAGAAAAAAACACCTTTTTATCAAAGGGCCATAACTCAGCCAAAAATCATTCAACCGGAAAACCCGTGCAATATGCGCAAGGACTTGAGCTACAGATCAATCCTGTAAAGTTTCATTGAAATTGCATAAGTGGTATAAGAGAAGTAGTCCGGACAAACTTTAAAAATAAAAATTATTAAAGGGCCATAACTCTGACAAAAATCATTGAACCGGAAAATGCTGACAATATGCACAACTAGACTTGGTACTGATCATTCCTGTAAAGTTTGGATGAAATTGCACCAGTAGTTTATGAGGGGTAGTCCGGACAAGTTTTGTGACGGACGGACAGACGGACAGACAGACGACGGAGAAGTGATCCCTATATGTCGCCACTACTCCGTAGAGGCAACACAAAAAATAAATTGACAACAAAAAATAAGCAACAAACCATATTCCAGATCTAATAAACAGGTTTGACAAACATTCTTTATCTTGGAACATGTCTGACACACTTCAGTCTTTTTAAACCTCATTCTGGCTCCAGGGCACCAGCGAAATACTGTGAAAGGCCGGGCACAAATCTTACATTCCTTTCCATACCTCTCTTTCATCTGAAAAAAGGGGAAATAATTATTTACATGTATATAAGTAGAGGAAGAGAGAAACATCTTAATTTATCGTGCTTTTGAAATTCATATGCTGTTTTCTGCTCCCTATTATAATTTCATGTACCCATTGGCAAACAAATTGTGGTTAATTATAATTTCTAATTAATACATCATTGTATTTCATTGGCAAATTATCATTAATACATTATAGTTTAGTATAATGTTGTCAAAACAACTTCAGTATTGAGTTATATATAAATGATAAGTAAAATAATTTTGAAAAACTTTGCTTACCATTCTCAGATATGGGTTGTCACCTAGGCATGTTTGACATAAAATTGGGAACTCCTGAAAATAGATTATTAGATGTTAACAATAGATTGAAGTATATTTCTATATCACTATCAAATAAGAACCTATGTTTGGTAAACACTGGAGTTGAGTATTGCTGACCTGTGAAAATGTATCAGTATAATTTAACTGTAGATTTTAAGTAACTACAATTTCTGTTCCGGAACTACTGGAATTTTGATTGGATTGCCTGGTTTCGGTAGTTACCTTGCATGCGCTCAAATTCTTTACTGCACTCAATTATTTCGGACACTGGTTAAAGTTCTTCATCCAATATGCTTCTTCCAATATACTGGCCACCTTCAACTAACTGAAGTTAACTGCCAGTTAGGCATAAGGCCTAATTTATAAATATTTGTGCATGCCTGCACGGATTCCCCTAGTCCTTTAAATATGACATGGCTTTAAGATACTTTTGCTTCTGGGCAAAGCAACGTCATATCGAAATTGCTCAAAAACCCATAGCATGTTCCGCCAGAAAATCAGGCGGAACGAAAAACAATTAAGACAGCGTGTATTTACATTAGTTTTGACCTTAGTATTTATGAACAAAACTAAAAAATAAATACCTTTTGTCAAAAAAAATTAAACTGTCACATCCGAAAAATCATGATTAAATCCTCTCACGTATTTAAATTCCTTTTACAGCCGATAAACAAATGGCAGCCATACAGTGCGAGAAATCTGATTGGCGAATTCAAATGCAAGCGTTTAACTGAGTCAGAACATTCTAACGGAATATTTTTTTAACCAAATAATTGCCCATGCACCGTCAGTGTGTTAAAATATATTTTTCCGTTCAAAAATTTGGGATCAATCTGTAAAGCACCTTGCTTAACTAGTCCTAATTATAAGACCTATACGTAACCTATTTCATATTTATCAGTCATTAATCTGATATTTTACATTTTTCATTTTCCATGTTACGTTAGGTCTTAACAGATCTTTGCAAAATCGTGTAGCAAAAATATTGACATTAGACATCGATTAAGATCTAATGAATTTAAACAATTAAAACAGCGTGTATTTACATTAATTTTGACCTATTTATGAACAAAATTAAAAAATAAATACCTTTTAACAAAATAATTGAACTCTCACATCCGAAAAGTCATGATTAAATCCTCTCATTTAATTAAATTCCTTGTACAGCCGATATACAAATGGCCGCCATACAGTGCGCGAAATCTGATTGGCTAATTCAAATGCAAGCGTTTAAATGAGTCCACAAGTTTCTAACGGAATATTTTTTCAACGAAATAATTGCCCATGCACCGTCAGTGTGTTTAATATATCTTTCTGTTCAAAAAATTGGAATCAATCTGTAAAACGCTTTACTTAACCAGTATGGCCGATGAGCGAAATAGACTGATATTTATATTTTACTTTTAATTGATAAGTACATTGTTTGAAAGTTTTTGTTAATGATAGACCATGCAATTGAAAGAACAGAAGATAAGCTTTTGAATAAAGCTTGAAAGGCAAGTCAACAGACATTTTTTTAATTTTTTAAAATGCTACGCGTTTACGAGCAATAACTATTAGACGTCAGGCTTGACCAACATAAAACTATAACAAGCCTGTAACGTCTAATCTATTGGACTACTTGCTTAACCAGTATGGCTGATAGACAAAAATAGATTGATGTTTATATATTATTTTTAAATTGATAAGTACATTGTTTGAGAGTTTTAGTGTATGATTGAGCATAAAATTGAAAGAAAAGAAGATAAGCTTTTGAATAAAGCTTGAAAGGCAAGACAATATTAGACATTTTGAATTTTTTATGATGCTATGCGTTTTTGAGCAAAAACTATTAGACGTCAGGCTTGACTGACATAAACTATAACAAGCCTGTAACGTCTAATATATTGGACTAGGATCCCCCCCCCCCCCAACGTTTACAAGGTCTCATTGTGGCAACACACAGGCGAAAGTGATTTAAAATGAAAACTTTCAGTACCTGCTGCTGAAATGACCCTTAAATTTTGTCTCGTTCACATCTAGGATATCTGCGTGATTTCAAATGTTTTAAGAAATACGTTTTAACTGCTGATGTGATAATCAGTGATAATTTCAAATTTGATAAATTGTAGATTGACACAGAAAATTAAAATTATAGGTGAAAATAATAACTTCAAAACAACAAAATTAAATGGAAATAAGAAATCATTGCCAAACAAATTTAAAATATACTCATTAAAATATATAAATGTGAGAATTTTACCGATTCTTCCCAATTTTGTCGATTGTACGTGTTAGCTCCTTTCGCAGTCGCCATCTTTGTTTGTAATGCTGTTTAAAGGAGTAATGTGAAGCTATCCACAGCTATCTGCAAAATGAGGCGTAATGTGAAGTGTTAAAAGTGATAATATGGCGTAATGTACAAATTTTACAAAACTCAAAAATACTTTTTGACGTGCCGATGATACTCATAGATTTTTCCCCGCAACGAAAAAGGGTTGGAACATATAACTTAAGAATTCTCTTTAAATGCTGTTTTCAGGGTCATGGTTTCAGATTAGTAAGTTTATGTTAAATGAGGGTCGTTTGGGCGAAGACAGACACATGTGCACTATATGCATATTGTACTATACAGTGATGTAAATGCCATTCAAATGTACATTTTGTGTAAAAAATGGTATTTATGTACATTATATGCATTCAATGTCCTTGATTTTCATAGAAAATATTTTTAATATACCTGTTAATACGTGATTCTGTGATTAAAATTTGAAAAGCCCTGTTTCGAACAAACATGTTAGTTTTTTAATCAATTAACAATATCTTTTATTTTACACTTTTGCCACAGAACTTTTAAAGATCCTGTAACACATTTTTTATGGTTTTAAATCATAAATATGATGCTAAAGTTAAGATTTATCAATATTGGAGGTTCCAAAAAGCATCATTTATAAAGGTATTACCGAATTTAACATTTCATGTAAATAAAGGGAGGTAATAAAATATATTTTCTATAAAGTTTAAGTCAAATTTTACAATAAGAAATGAATGCACATATCTGAATGATTACATATAATATGCACAAATATTTGCAGTACATATTTTACATATTCTTTGATGTTTGAAAATTGATTTATTTGCATAATTATGTACATATACATGCATATAATTTCACTTAGTGTGGTTTTCCACTTTGTTCACAACATATAGGATCTTAAAATATTGATATCATCATTTATTTTGATTTTTACTGTTACCTATGTTTTTGAGAATAGAAAGATATCTTACTACGCCTTAATTTCAAATAATTTAAATAAAAGAGTACAAAAATATGACAACAACTAGTGATTCCATAAGAATACGGTAAGATACGATTCCCCTATTTGTGCTTTAACAATGGACTGATGGACAATGTTACTGATAATTGGCAGCTTACACGCGCTCAGAAAGTAAAATATTATAGATACATCTATAAAACGTACTCAAAACATTTTAACCCATATTTTAAGACTAACTTTATCAATAATGAGCCTGTTCATGGACGGTACTGGAAAGTGCAAGTTACCGTCCATGCCCCTAGTACAGGCTTAAGCAGAATTCAACATTTAAACTCGAAAATGATGAAATTATGAATTTAGAACATCCGCAGATGTGTTCACACGGCGGTTACCATGGAACCTTTAATGTGACACGGTGTACCATTCCATGAAAAGCGGCCTATTGTCCCCAAGTAAAAAATGCTTGTGAGCAAACATCGAGAAAACAATGGGCGGAACTAAATAAAATGGAATTTTGAAATGGGATCGGAGGTTATGAAAATCTGGAAACAAAGTGATCCCTCGGAAGCATTAATCACAACAAAATTACATAAGAATTGCAGACTCGGTTTGATTGAGTCTGTACATGAGGGATAATGAATAGGTGCAACATCCCTCACGCCCCCTAGCACCGGCTTGAACGTTACTCAATTCTCAACACTTAATAGTGCTGGCATCAATGATCCCGAAGGACCAGAAAAATATAACAACACTGAAGTGAAGTACGGGGCAACTATTTACGGCTGCCACACAGCACTTGACACCTGCTGTTGTGAAGTATAAAAATCTGGAAACAAAGTGATCCCTCGGAAGCATTAATCACAACAAAATTACATAAGAATTGCAGACTCGGTTTGATTGAGTCTGTACATGAGATAACCTGCATATCACAGATAAGACGTCAAAAGACAATTTTAAAAAGCAGCCAACATGTTTTAATGGTGATTTTACAGTTTTAAAGTAGGAATACTGGAACCACCCAAATTGAAAATGCCCAAATAGAAGAAACAAAATATACCACATAACATGTATACATAACAATTATGTCGTGGTTAACAATCTTCAAGGATCGAAAATATAACATCTTTGATTAAATGTACGGGGAGACTTTTTACAGCCACCACATGGCGCAAATAACACTGATCTCGATGTGACCATGAAATAGAGAAAAACAAAATCCCTAAAGAAAGCCCAACACGGCAAAATTGAAAATGTTGCAAAAATGAAAATTTATGAGTCAGGTACCACATTCCTTAGTTTTCTACTTACTGTCCACGACCCCTAGTATCGGCTTACGCAGAATTCAACATTTAAACTCGAAAATGATGAAATTTTGAATTAAGAACATCTAGGTTAAGATACATTGCATATCTTAGTGTTCTTGCCGAATGTCAGAACATGGTTTGTATGTAGTCTGCAATAAATGCAATGTGAGGGTTTACAAAAAGATGACTTTCTTGGTGATGACATTCCGATTTTTTTTAGAAAATGTACACTCCAAAAAGAAACGTTAAAGGATGAATTATGTTCATTTAAATTTTGGTTTAAATATGAAAATTTACTAAAGTAAATTGTTGTCACGTACGTATTTTATTTATTTCCCTGAATTCATCAAATGCCATATACATTAATTTTCATTAAGTGAAAAAAATGAAGAAGAAGAACGTAAAGAATGGTAAATAATCAAACATGTCTAAGATTGTTGACTTCGTCACGGGGTTTAAAAGCTACTATTCATAGATGAATAACGGCATCCCGGAATATTTAACCATTATTCAATAAGTTAAGCTGTTTCAAGCCAATAATAAATGGAAGTGGAAAGTATGGTTAAATTTATTATAGCTATTAATGCATCTATCAACATTTATTCATTTTCAGGTTGGCACATTTTCAACAAGGCTTGATATTTAAAAAAAAACAAACAATAAAAAGATATGTTCCAGTCAAGTCATTCCCATGAATATTTTAATAAAAATACAAACAGCAGGGTATTCACTACTGAAGAATTTGTTTAAAATGAATCAGACAAATTCACAGCAGTCTATTCAACGATTTTCAACAGGTTTTTTTTCAAGATAAAAAAAAAACTAACACTAAATGTCATAACATATGTACAGTACAATGCATTGGTATGACTACTGTTAATGTGTACAAAATGGCAGTCGAAGGTGTCACTTCTAAGTACGCTAATTGGAGTACAAAATGATAAAGTCATCCAATCGTTACAGTCACTTTACCTTCCCCAGTTTATAATATTACCAAATATGAAAACTAGTTTAGATCTGCCAGCTGGTATCATTATAAAAGTGCAATCTTCGTTTGGAAAAATGGATAACAAATTAAAATCTTATTTATTTTAGCTAATTTCCCTTTCTATTTATTACGACCCCTACGTAAAGTTTGATGAATATTTAATGGTATGTCATTTAAATAGTTGTTTTAAATACATCTAAGACTGAGCTATGTAAATGGTAAAACTCTGTAGTATAAAAAACTTTAGTCTTCTTAAATGTCCTTTGTGTTCAATTATACGTCATTACGCCACATTTGACTTAAGTTCGCTAAATATATCACGAACAACAACAACAACACAAAATCAGCAAAACGAAAACGCAAAAGAAAACCCGTTTTGGTAATTTTGTTATTTTTATAACATATATTTACTTTTAAGTTATAGTCAATCACGACAGACAGTATCTCGATATTTAAAATAATATTAACGTAGCAATTTTCAAACATCGTACTGGAACACCGAACAGTCACGTGCGATGAAAACGAATAATCTGATAATTTCAAAAATCAGATAAATTTGTAATGATTTGGCCTCGGACACTCAATTAGTCAAAATTCGACCTTTTTTGTAATGATATATGAAACCTCATTATCTTTGTTCTAGCTTAATATTTTATTTCAATTTTCAAAATAACTGGTGTATTTTTGAACAATTGAAGGGAAACTAGACAGAGGTTTCACTATTTAGATGGTTGACACCAGGGAATTAGTAACAATTCGCCACAATAACGATTAGCCACTTAACGATTCGCCACAGTCAAATAACGATTCGCCACAGTTAAATAACGATTCGCCACAGTATGATTATAACAATAATTTTCTTAGATTGACTAGTCCTAGTTCAATTATATTAACTTTTTGTCCCCCGCCTTTTCGAAGAAAAAAGGGGGATATAGAAATAGGCTTCGTCCGTCTGTCTGTCCGTCACACTTTCGTGTCCGGTCCATAACTTTGTCATTTATGAAAGGAACTTGAAATAATTTGCTTTTTACTTGGCACAAATGTTTATTATAATAAGACGATGTGTCATTCGCACAACCAGACCCCTACCTCCAGGGTCAAGGTCGCACTTGCTCATTCAAGGTCAACATTGTCTAATAAAGACTATTTGAGGGTATATGTCGTGTCCGGCCCATAACTTTCTTATCTAAGAAGGGATTTTGTAAATACTTGCCATAATTGTTAACTATAATCAGACGATGTGTCATGCGCCAAAACCAGTCACCTACCTTCAAGGTCAAGGTCACACTTTGAGGTCAAATATTAACATAGTCTGTTACAGGGTATATTTCGTGTCCGGTCCATAACTTTGTCATTTATCAAAGAAATTTGAAATAAGTTGGCACAAATGTTTGTTATAAATAGACGATGTGTCATGCGCAACAACCAGACCCCTACCTCTAGGGTCAAGGTCGCACTTGCTCATTCACGGTCAACATTGTCTATTTGAGGGTATATGTCGTGTCCGGTCCATAACTTTCTTATCTATGAAGGAATTTTGTAAATACTTGCCATAATTGTTCACAATAATCAGCCAATGTGTCATGCGCCAAAACCAGTCACCTACCTCCAAGGTCAAGGTCACACTTGGAGGTCAAATACCTTCATAGTCTGTTACAGGGTACTTTTTGTGTCCGGTCCATAACTTTTTCATAGATCAAAGGATTTTGAAAATACTTGGCACAAATAGTCATTATAATAAGAGGATGTGTCATGCGCAACACCTGCATTCCTACCTCCAAGGTCAAGGTCACACTTAGGGGTAAAAAATTAACATAGTCAGTTTTAGGGTATATTTTGTGTCGGATCTAGAACTTCTTCATAGTTCAAGGGATTTTAAAATAACTTGGCACAAATAGTCACAATAATAAGACGATATGTCAAGTACAACACCTGCACCCCTACCTCCAAGGTCAAGGTCACACTTAGAGGTCAAAGGTTAACAGAGTCTGTTATTTGGTATATTTTGTGTCCCGTCCATTACTTCTTCATAGATTAAGGAATTTGAAAATACTTGGCACAAATAGTCACAATGATTAGATGATATGTCATGCGTAACATCTGTGTCCCTACCTCCAAGGTCAAGGTCACACTTAGAGGTCAAAGATTTACATAGTCTGTTATAGGGTATATTTTGTGTCCAATCTATAACTTCTTCATAGTTCAAGGGATTTTGAAAATACTTGCCACAAATAGTCTCAATAATAAGACGTTATGTCATGCACAACACCTGCATCCCTACCTCCAAGGTCAAGGTCACATTAAGAGGTCAAAGCTTAACATGATAGATTTTTAAATTCCGTGTTTCATTTTATTTTTTTAACAAATTTATTGTTGCATTTGCAGATCTAGCATTGATCATATACTTCAATCTTTTGAAATAGCACAATTTTATGCTTCATATAAAACTTCCCGAGGCGGGGGACGTTGGTAAGGATAATAATAATGTTTCTTCATATAAGTAATATGAAGTTATGCCCCCCCCCCCCCAGTGCAGATTTTCAATTAACAGTACAATCTTTCAATTATGTTTTTTTTTATTCGGTGTACCTGAGACATTTTCCGATCTATTCTTGTCATATTACACTTAATTTATCTGATAAGACGTAATTGATGCCATCTTTACGAGGTAAGGCCGAATTTGTGAATGAAGCACTGAAGCAACAGCGGTTATCTCATTAAAAGTAGCTAAATTTTATTTTACCAGCTTCCTCCTATTGTTATACGACCAATGTCTGAGACATGTTTACAGAATATGAAAACATAGTGTGTTAAATGTACATATTTATTTGACGAAAACACAAAGTCACCTTCAAAACGGCAATCAGGTTGTCTTTCTCAGGAATGATTTAAAGAAGATTCCTGAAAAAAAATGTAATGCTGGTTAAAGTATAATGTGTTTTTATTCAATAAAAGCTGTATTAAGTATAGGTTTTCAGGTTATATTATTAACAAATGTTAACTAATTTACAAATCTGTTTTGTAATTTTGGTAATAAAATATGCTCGTTTTCATGAGTTTTTTAGCTCGACTTTTTTTGAAAAAAAAATAGAGGTATTGTTATAGTCGCGGCGGCGTTGCCGTGCCGTTGCCGTCCGCAAACTTGTACCTGGATCATAATTTTTTTAGGTCTTGGTGTATTGTCTTCATACTTGGCCACAACAACCCTTGGGACAAGACCTTTCAGTAGACCACACTAATCTTGACCTTCATCCATAAATGACCTTGACCTTCAAGGTCAAATGTCCAAATTTTGCTTGTTCTTGCTATTATTGGCTGTAACTTTGTTATTTTTGAATGGATTGTCTTCAAACTTGAACATAATAATCTTCAAGGATATCCCTTAAAATAACTCAGACAGACCTTGACCTTCACTCATAAATGACCTTGACTTTGAAGGTCAAATTATTGAAATTTTCATTTTTTTGGCTATTATTGGCTGTAACTTTGTTATTTTTGATTGGATTGTCTTCAAACTTGAACATAATAATCTTCAAGGATAACCCTTAAAAATAACCAGACAGACTTGACCTTCACTCATAAATGACCTTGACTTTGAAGGTGAAATTATTGAAATTTTCATTTTTTTTGGCTGTAACTGGCTGCAACTTTGCCATTATTAAATGGATTGACTTCATATTATAACAGAACATTCTTAAGGACAAGACCTTCATGTTTATCAAACTCAGATTGATTTTGGCTCTCTAATGACCTTGACCTTGAAGGTTAGATTATTGAATTGAAGTATATATCTATATAATAATTTATTTTATATACAATTTTGGCATTTCATTGTTTCAGACTTACAAAAAATAATCAATATATATAAAATATATTTACTATATTGATATTTTTTATTATTTGAAAAATATTAATTACTTTACTGGTAGTGATTTCAATATCTAAACTGATACTCAATTTTTTTTTACTTATATGTCTTTCTTGTTCTTTCTGTTATTCTATTATCTTTTTTAATTTATTATAAATAGAATTTTCTCATGTTGTTACTCTTAAAATAAAAGTTTTATTTAAGAAATTTGTCTTTCATTTAAACCTCTAAACATTCTAATAATTCTTATTAACAATGCCATTGAAATCAACAAAATGAAACATTAAATTGAATTTCCCTTTTACACTGTTTAATAATTAAATTAAAATTTGTTAACTTTCCTAGTTAACATCTCTAAGAAAATGTGAGTGAAACATCCACACAATTGACAAAGTGGGAGTGAAACGTCTAGGTGTGAACCGTCTTGGAAGTGAAACGTCTCAATAGTGAAACGTCTTGGGGAGTGAAGCATCCGGGCTTCGAAAAATATAGCCCAATAAATTAGGTAAGGGGGGAAATATGAAATCAAATTCCAACCATTGAAAATTGAATTTAATCACAAATGAAAGAAAAGAATAAAATAAGGAAAGCTGGTATTTGTTTATTGGTTCATGTAATTGATGCTTTCATTGTTTATTTTGAGCAAGATGCCAAGAAACTTCAGGTCATAAACTGGCAAATAACATGCAGGTTAAACATGTAAAAGGAAAAGAAAATATAATGTTTAACATTTGTAATTTAAAAATAGAGACTGCAAAAATTAAGGTTATTAATAATTTAACATTTCTGTTTTGTTTTCTTCAGATATTGTTATTTTATGGGAGTACAAAAGATTCCAGGATGACCAGAAATGGAGTTCTAAGTTTGAGATTTAACCAAGATCAAGGTAGAGTATATATATGTATGGTCTTAGAAATTATGTAAAATAAGTAATCAGTTTAAAATAGGGATGGCAACGAGTAACCGGTTAACCGAGTACTCGATCGAACGTCCGAATATCGGTTAACAAAATTGATATTCGATTACTCGGAAAAAATGTATAATTTCTATTCTATTTGCTATTTAGACAGTTTGGTGTATCCAATTAGTTCAGAAATTCGGAGATGTTATACCTTCATGAATACCTGTTAAATGCAATCACAACTTCCTTGCAGAGGTGCGAAAATTATACGGCGATCAACAGTTTGACACGCGCACATGTGACGCTTACGTCATCCGGCCTCTTATGCTATTAAGTAACCTTTAATTGTGTAACACAATTGCATATTTGTGCCCGAATCTTGTTTTAAGGTAACATTTTTGAAAACAACAAAGGGCCGTATTGCTATCATGATAAAATAATTAAGGTAGTCCTTAGACCCGGTTAAATTTTTGTTGCCGCTGATCAGTCTATTTTATTACAAGAAGAAAAAGATGTTTCAACTGTTAAACATGTTTTAAACTTGATATTGCATTAATTAAAATGTTCTAAAATATAATGTCGTTGATTTAATTATGCCCCCATTTCGAAGAAAAGGGGGTATATTGCTTTGCACTTGTCGGTCCGTCGGTCCGTAGACCAAATGGTTTCCGAGTGATAACTAAAGAACCCTTAGGCCTAGGAACTTCAAACTTGGTATGGTGATTGGTCATGACCAGTAGATGACCCCTATTGATTTTGGGGTCAAGGGGTCAAAGGTCAAGGTCACATTGACCTTGAAAGCAAAAACGGTTTCCCATCAATAACTAAAGAACCTTAAGGCCTAGGAACTTCAAACTTTGTATGGTGATTGGTCATGACCAGTAGATGACCCCTATTGATTTTGGGGTCAAGGGGTCAAAGTTCAAGGTCACATTGACCTTGAAAGCAAAAACGGTTTCCGATCAATGACTAAAGAACCTTAAGGCCTAGGAACTTCAAACTTGGTATGGTGATTGGTCATGATCAGTAGATGACCCCTATTGATTTTGGGGTCAAGGGGTCAAAGGTCAAGGTCACATTGACCTTGTAAGCAAAAACGGTTTCCGATCAATAACTAAAGAACCTTAAGGCCTAGGAACTTCAAACTTGGTATGGTGATTGGTCATGATCAGTAGATGACCCCTATTGATTTTGGGGTCAAGGGGTCAAAGGTCAAGGTCACATTGACCTTGAAAGCAAAAACGGTTTCCTATCAATAACTAAAGAACCGTAAGGCCTAGGAACTTCAAATTGGTATGGTGATTGGTCATGACCAGTAGATGACCCCTATTGATTTTGGGGTCAAGGGGTCAAAGTTCAAGGTCACATTGACCTTGAAAGCAAAAACGGTTTCCGATCAATGACTAAAGAACCTTAAGGCGTAGGAACTTCAAACTTGGTATGGTGATTGGTCATGATCAGTAGATGACCCCTATTGATTTTGGGGTCAAGGGGTCAAAGGTCAAGGTCACAATGACCTTTTAAGCAAAAACGGTTTCCGATCAATAACTAAAGAACCTTAAGGCCTAGGAACTTCAAACTTGGTATGGTGATTGGTCATGATCAGTAGATGACCCCTATTGATTTTGGGGTCAAAGGTCAAGGTCACATTGACCTTGTAGGTAAAAACGGTTTCCAATCAATAACTAAAGAACCTTAAGGCCTAGGAACTTCAAACTTGGTATGGTGATTGGATATGACCAATCAGATGACCCCTATTCATTTTGGGGTTAAGGGGTCAAAGGTCAAGGTCACATTGACCTTGTAGGTAAAAACGGTTTCCAATCAATAATGAAAGAACCCTTAAGCCTAGGGACTTCAAACTTGAGATGGTGATTGGTCATGATCAGTAGATGACCCCTATTGATTTTGGGGTCAAGGGGTCAAAGGTCAAGGTCACATTGACCTCTTAGGTAAAAACGGTTTCCGATCAATAACTAAAGAACCCTTAGGCCTAGGAACTTCAAACTTGGTATGGTGATTGGTCATTACCAGCAGATGACCCCTATTGATTTTGGGGTTAAGGGGTTAAATGGCAAGGTCACATTGACCTTGTAGGTAAAAATGCTTTCCGATCAATAACTTAAGAACCCTTATGCCTAGGAACTTCAAACTTGGTATGGTGATTGGTCATGACCAGCAGATGACCTATTGATTTTGGGGTCAAGGGGTCAAAGGTCAAGGTCACATTGACCTTGTAGGTAAAAACGGTTTCCGATAAATTTACTAAAAACGCTTAGGCCTAGGAACTTCAACCTTTGTGTGATGATTGGTCATGACCAGCAGATGACCCCTATTGAGTTTTAGGTGAAGGGGTCAAAGGTCAAGGTCACATTGACCTTGTAAGTAAAAACGGTTTCTGATCAATAACTCAAGAACACTTAGGCCTAGGAACTTCAAACTTGGTATGGTGATTTGTCATGACCAGCAGATTTCTCCTATTGATTTTGGGATTAAGGGGTCAAAGGTCAAGGTCACAATGACCTTGTTAGTAAAAACGGTTTCTGATCAATAACTAAAGAACGCTTCGGCCTAGGAACTTCAAACTTGGCATGGTGATTGGTCATGACCAGCAGATGACCCCTATTGATTTTGGGGTCAAAGGTCAAGGTCACATTGACCTTGTATGTTAAAACGGTTTCCGATCAATAATAAGAGAACCCTAAGGCCTAGGAACTTCAACCTAGGCATGGTGATTGGTCATGACCAGCAGATGACCCCTATTGATTTTGGGGTCAAAGGTCAAGGTCACATTGACCTTGTAGGTAAAAACGGTTTCTGATCAATTTACTAAAAACGCCTAGGCCTAGGAACTTCAAACTTTGTATGATGATTGGTCGTGACCAGCAGATGACCCCTATTGAGTTTTGGGTCAAGGGGTCAAAGTCATGACCAGTAGATACTTTATAACCCTTATTAATTGTTTGATCACTGGGTCAGAAGTCATGCATAATAACCTTATCACATGACTAATTGGCTGCTGATAGGGGGCATACATGTTTTACAAACATATCTTGTTTTAATTAATTTGTCTCCTTTGCAATCCTATCTTTAGTTACGAATTCTATGAATGTAAGTAGCATGCGGACGGTGTTGATATTGTGTGATAAACTTTGAGGTATATTTGAAATCGTCCGAGTAACCGAGTACTCGATCGTAAAAATGACCGAGTACTCGAGTATTGATTTTGGTATCCGTTGCCATCCCTAGTTTAAAATTCTGTAGAGTCTGATTCAGCTGCAAAAACTTGCTTGGTTGTCCTTGTGTCCTATCTTATATCATAATTACCATTGCTCTTCACACCTTTATTTATTGACTGATAAATAGTTGGTGTATTTGCACAATCTAAAGACCATTATACTTGTATCATTTGATAGGTTTCAGATTGATTGAATCAACCACTGAAGCTAATAAAAAGATTGTGATACTCAGAGCTTCGGACAAGACGCATATTTGTGTATTGAAAATTATGAAATATGCATCAAAATTTAACTCTGTGTGTACCAATACTCTTTGAAAATAGTATCGGGTACTCCTTCACCTTGGTATAAAGTGCATAATTTGTCAAATAATTTCATATTAAGAACGTCGTAAAAATGAAACCAATCCTGTAAAAGTGGCTGGTTTCGGAAGAAACGAAACCAAGTCATTCCTCTCATATTGCATTTGCTGGGTAGGTTTATTATTGAGACAGGGTTATTATCAAATTTTAGGGTATTATATGAATGTTAAAAGTGCCTGAAAGATATGTTGGAATAGTCTATAATGCTACTAAACACAGACTTGGTACCATTTAAACTAAGAATATTTACTGAGAATATAAAGGAAGCTGTATTTTTGACTTGTATTGTATGATTGTATGTTTTCAGGATGTTTCACATGTGCTTCAGAATCCGGTCTTAGAGTGTATAATGTAGATCCACTGGCACAAAAATTATGTAAGTTGCCAAAAAATTTGGAAGGTTTGACTATAACTCAAACAGTATATAGGCTAGATTTGTTTAACGTGATATTCATGTAAATATGCTACCAAATATAGATTTGACAAGCATTTGTACAGTGGTCATAGTGTCTGTGTTCAACCAATGCATTAGAGGTTCAAGTCCTTCTGGTTTCACTACTATGTTACCTATAATACACTAGTACAGGTAATAGTTCGTTCTAGGAAGTGGTCTCAATAGCATTGCAAATCAGCTTAATCACAATCAAGGTATATGCATTTTAGATATAATGTTTAAAACTAAACACAAGTTTGGTCATGAATGTTAGTCATTTGATTTGTGAAAATCGTGCATTTTGGTATGTAAACAGTTATCCTAAAACATAGAGATTTTTAGTGTTGAATTGTAACTATTAGTTTGATGTTGTTTGAAACTCCAATCTCTTGTCTGTTTTTATCTCTTTATCTTGCTGTCCAATAAAGATACCAGCACCTTATTTCTTTATCTTTTATTTCCTTGGTTAAATTAAGGTTTTAAGAAAGACACCTTTATTTTTTGAAGGGGAAGTAATTCCTTTATATTGAATGTCCTGACAGTCATATTTTATATACTATTTATATGCATTGTTTCATTAATTAGATACAGATGCTGTGGGAAGTGTGGCCAGCGCTGAAATGTTGTTTAGAACCAATATTATTGCATTGGTTGGAGGTGGGAAAAATCCAAGATATGATGAGAAAGCAGGTAAGTTTTTTATAAAGAAATGCTATTTTTCATAACAGAAATAACAATTGCAACTACGGTAGTAATACTTTACATTTTCTAGTGGTAGCTAGGACTCCCCTTTGACACCAGTAAAGAGTATTAAGGAAAAAATGTGAGTTAAGAGCATAGTTGTAAAGGAGATGCATTTTGTGACTATTATTCCTGTTATGGTGAATAATAATACATGTAGTATGCCAAATATCATTTATCCCCTGCTGGTAATTAATTGATTTATGCGGAGAAGTGATAGTCAAGGTTATTATCCCCCGCCGAAATCTTTTCGGCGGGGGATATAGAAATAGTCTCCGTCCGTCCGTCCGACCTTCCGTCCTTCCGTCCGACATTTTTGTCCTGAGCATATCTCTAAAAGTATTTGAGTTATCAACTTAAACTTCATAGGTGGATAGACCTCATTGAGGAGGAGTGCAGTGCACAAGAATGATAACTCTACCCTGCATAATTTTTGAGTTATTGCCCTTTGTTATTTTTCAAAATTGATTTTTGTCCAGAGCATAACTCCAAAAGCCTATGAGATATCAACATGAAACTTCATAGGTGCATAGATCTCACTCAGGAGGTGTGCAGTGCACAAGAATGATAACTCAACCTTTCATAATTTTTGAGTTATTGCCCTTTGTTATTTTTCTTACTTAATTTTTCACCTGAGTGAGACATAACTCAAAAAGTGTTTGAGATATCAACATGAAATGTCATAGGTGGATAGATCTTATTGAGGAGAAATGTTGTGCGCAAGAATGATAACTCTTCCCTATACAATTTTTGAGTTATTGCCCTTTGTTCTTTTTCATGCTATTTTATCCAGAGCTTATCTCAAAAAGTATTTGAGGTATCAACTGGAAACTTCATAGGTGGATGGATCTCATTGAGGAGGAGTGCAGTGCACAAGAATGATAACTCTACCCTGCATAATTTTTGAGTTATTGCCCTTTGCTATTTTTAGGGATGGCAACGAATACCAAAATCAATACTCGAGTACTCGGTCATTTTTCCGATTGAGTACTCGGTTACTCGGATGATTGCCAGTGATCTTCAAAGTTTATCACACAATATCAACACCGTCCGCGTGCTACTTTCGTTTTCTATTTAAATTCATAGAATTCTGTAGATAGTAAATAGGACTGCACGGGAGACAAATTAATTATAATTAAATCAACAACATAATATTTTACAACATTTTGATTAATGCAATATCAAGTTTTAAACATGTATAACAGTTCATATATCTTTTTTCTTTTTAAAATAATATAGACTGATCGGCGGCAACAAAAGTTTAACATGGTCTAAATTCTAGTTACCTTTATTCTTACATTCATGATAGCAATCGGCCCTTTGTTGTTTTCAAAACAGTTACTTCGGCAATTAAAGGTAATTAATATCATAAGAGGCTTGATGACATAAGCGACACAGGTGCGCGTGTCAAACTGTTGATCGCCTTCGTTTTCGCACCTCTGCAAGGATGTTTTGATTGCATTTAACGGGTATTTATGAAGATACATGCTAATCTCCGAATTTCTGAACTAATTGGATATACCAATCTTTCTAAATCGCAAAAAATAGAAAATATATATTTTTCCGAGTTATCGAATATCAATTTTGTTAATCGATATTCGGACGTTCGATCAAGTACTCAGTTACCCGATTACTGGTTGCCATCCCTAGTTATTTTTCAAAATTAATTTTTGTCCAGAGCATAACTCAAAAGGCCTTTGAGATATCATTATGAAACTTCATAGGTGCATAGATCTAATTCAGGAGGTGTGCAGTGCACAAGAATGATAACTCTACCTTTTATAATTTTTGAGTTATTGCCCTTTGTTATTTTTCATACTTAATTTTTCAATTCAATTTTTTTCTCAAAAAGTATTTGAGGTATCAACTTGAAACTTCATAGGTGGATAGATTTTACTGAGGAGGGATGCAGCACACAAGAATGATAACCTACCCTGCATTATTTTTCAGTTATTGCCCTTTGTTATTTTCAGCCATCAGTATTCACATAGGTTTCAAATCTGTAATCACTATAGCCATCAGTTTTCATTATCAAAAGACCTCTTAAAATGGAATTATTCTGCTCTACTACATATACATTTCTCCAATGAGCAAACACATTCGGCGGGGGATGGCCATGTTGACATGGCTCTTGTTTAGTGAAGTCATACTTCATTATAGCAAATTGAAGCACATTGTTTAGAGATATATTGTTTGTAATTATAACTTGAAGGCTGTAGCTTACAGAATGTTGTTGGAACCAAGATTACATGTAAGTGTCCTTTGACAAATTATCAGACTTGACAAAAACTATTGATTTAGAGACATGTCATTAAATTGGAAATTGAACGAATAGAACTGTGTTAGATATGTTGATGTGAATGTATTTCAGTAACCATATGGGATGATAATCGTGGTGAACCTATAATAGATATAACATTTGCTCAACCAGTTCATGCTGTGAGAATGAAGAAAGACAGGTAATAATGTAACTTACTTTTATAATACTGTTTTAGTGGTTAAGTTAGCGATGCAGAAATATTGGGGAATTTCGCGAATAGACGAAAATCACTAAAATTTCCGCTAGCATCAATATCAACCAAACTGTCATTAAATTCTGCCCTTGCACAATTTTCTATTCTAATATTTCCTTACACGAAATGTCTGGAATTTGAAATTTGCTAACTTTTTGACATGCGGAAATATCCACTTACACAGTATAGACTGTATTCTTATATAATAATAACCATTGTTGTAAATTGCAATTTTTGTAACCAGTAAATATTTACTTTAGTCTATCTTAACATTTAATTTTTGTTGACTGCCATTTTGTCTTAGTGGCAGATTTTTTCACTAGTAAAATGTCACTTTTTAGGAGCAAATTCCTTATGTTGTTTGGTAAGAAAAATGCAGAGTCTTAAAAAAAATAGATTCTGAGTAATAGGCTTGGCAATAAATTCTTTGATAATAATGATAGCTGATAAAGCTATAAGACATTATCATATGTGTCTGTTTTTGATTTGAATTGAACAAATTTTTATTTTTTGTCATGAAACATTCAATTTAGGTATTTTTTCAGTAATATAATTTCTTTCAACTGTTTTAATCATGATAATCTACATGTATTGTAATTGTTCTAGGTTGATAGTGGTGCTACGCAATCAGGTCCATGTGTTCTCATTCCCCAACAATCCGCAGAAACTTCTGTCTTTTGACACCAGAGATAATCCTAGAGGTAACTTTTTACGGCACTAAGTTTTTCTTCTTGTTGAAAGTTCAAACTGTAGTAGATGTGTGCCAGATTTTTTTTTCTCAGAATTTGCATTAAATTTAGGGGAGTCTGTGGCTCAGTGGTTAACATTACTGACTACAAATCCCTTGTCCCTCACTGCTGTGGGTTTGCCCATTAATGTCAGCAATAATGCACAGAAGGGCACCTGAGGTCTTCATCCACAAGCTGGAAAGTCTCCATATGACCTATACTGTGTTTGTGCTATAGATAAATGTAAAACCCAACAAAAAAATAGCTTTACATTTTTAACCAGGTTTTCCGAAGGAAAAAACTGGTTATTAGATTGAGGTATGTCGGCGGGCGGGCGGACGGGCGGGCGGGCGTAAACAATTTCTTCTGTGCGCAACTCCTCCTACATTTCTCAACGGATTTTGACCAAACTTTCACAGAAGCTTTGTCATCAAGTGCCCTGGCGCATATTGTCGGGGTTTTGCGATTAGATAATATTTGACCTAATTATGGCCCTTTGTTTTTTTTTCCTTATATAGAATATATAGTGAACAATTTCTTCTGAGCGCAACTCCTCCTACATTTTACAACGGATTTTGACCAAACTTTCTCAGAAGCTTTGTCATCAAGTGCCCTGACACATATTGCCAGGGTTTTGCAATTGGTATATATTTGACCTAATTATGGCCCTTTGTTTTTTTTTCCTTATATAGAATATATAGTTTCTGTGCGCAACTCCTCCTACATTTCTCAACGGATTTTGACCAAACTTTCACAGAAGCTTTGTCATCAAGTGCCCTGGCGCATATTGTCGGGGTTTTGCGATTAGATAATATTTGACCTAATTATGGCCCTTTGTTTTTTTCCTTATATAAAATATATAGTGAACATTTCTTCTGTGCGCAACTCCTCCTACATTTCTCAACGGATTTTGACCAAACTTTCTCAGAAGCTTTGTCATCAAGTGCCCTGACACATATTGCCAGGGTTTTTGCAATTGGTATATATTTGACCTAATTATGGCCTTTGTTTTTTTTCCTTATATAGAATATAAAGTGAACAATTTCTTCTGTGCGCAACTCCTCCTACATTTCTCAACGGATTTTGACCAAACTTTCTTAGAAGCTTTGTTATCAAGTGCCTGGCACATATTGTCGGGGTTTTGTGATTGGAAAATATTTGACCGAATTATGGCCCTTTGTATATTTTTTCCTTATACAGAATATATAGAGAACAATTTCTTCTGTGCTCAACTCCTCCTACATTTCTCAACGGATTTTGACCAAACTTTCTTAGAAGCTTTGTTTTCAAGTGCCTGGCACATATTGTCGGGGTTTTGTGATTGGATAATATTTGACCGAATTATGGCCCTTTGTATATTTTTTCCTTATACAGAATATATATAGAGAACAATTTCTTCTGTGCTCAACTCCTCCTACATTTCTCAACGGATTTTGACCAAACTTTCTTAGAAGCTTTGTTTTCAAGTGCCTGGCACATATTGTCGGGGTTTTGTGATTGGATAATATTTGACCGAATTATGGCCCTTTGTATATTTTTTCCTTATACAGAATATATAGTGAACAATTTCTACAGTGCGCAACTTCTCCTACATTTCTCAATGGATTTTGACCAAACTTTCACAGAAGCTTTGTCATCAAGTGCCCTGGCGCTCACTAAATTCCCATGTTTCTTCCAAGACATCATTCAAGTATTTTTTTAAAATTGTGAAGATACTTTTCTTGATATCGCACAAAACACCACACGCCAATATTGTTGACAAAAGAAAATGACAAAAGACGCAAAAATGCAAAAATTAAGCAAAAATAAAGTACTGTTTACCTTTCTAAAACATTTGGGGAAAAAAGGCGAATAGACAACATAAAATTTCTCAATCATTTTTGTTTGAGGAATATTAAAAAAGCCATAATTCCTCCTAAAAGTTCAATTAAAAACAAATGCCCCTTCATGACAAAGCTTCTGTGAAATATTTTGCTGAAAACCTGGTTGCATCGCATTGCGATGTTCCTTGTTATTTACCTGTATAAAGTACATATTTTAGACAGAAAAATCATAAATTGCCCTTGTTAAAGTTAGTTGATGATATTTTCAGGTCTATGTGAAGTGAGTCCTGTTGGGGCCAATCTTGTTTTCCCAGGTCACATCTGTGGGAGTGTTCAGATTGTGGTAAGCATTACTGATGTGTTAATTGATAGGGCTATAAGATTTATGAAATTATAAATTTTACAGCATCTGTTTACACAAATGACATGTCGTGCAGTGTAGTTTTGTCAAAGAATACATTTAACTTTTGTACTAAGGGCTCATTGTTTCAAGCTGTTTACTATATGTTAACTTAGTTTCTATACAAACATTGCATTGACCGGGTTGCTTTTCGCACAAATGTACATCTGCAACAATACTATGTACAAATCTCTGTTTTCATTGGTTTAAACATAGATCATAATTTCAGATCATCATTATGTTTCAACTATTGTAATCAAATATTTCTACACCAATTTGGTTTTAAGCTTTGCTACAAAGACCTACTTCTATGTGGAAAAAGTGTATGTACCAGTACATTATCAAAACAGCTAGGGTCACTTGAATGATTGTGGGTTTTGTTTGGATTTTGTTTTCCTATTTATCAAACTCAAACTGCTATTAGGGGACCTAGACATGTACTTGGATGATATAAGCAATATTTGCACTGGTCTGTGCGAAATGTGTTTAAAAAAGAACCTAATCAAGAAATCATTGGTGGAATTCAAACATACAACCTCTGGATTAGGAGTCTTATGCTTTACCCTTACACCACTCTTTCCACATCATGATGATAATGTTTTCAGACTTAGTTGGTGAAGTTAGAAGAAGAATATACAAGATAATTATTTTATTCATGTAATGTATAGAACAATATTTATATAGGTGACAAGTATTTCATTTTCAGAATCTTGATCACATGTAAAGTATGGAACAATGTTTAGTTAGGTGACAAATATTTTATTTTCAGAATCTGGATCATTCACAGCCTGGTCAGACATCATCACCTGTTACAATAAATGCTCACAAGACAGAACTCGCCAGTGTGGCTGTAAATCAGCTGGGCACACTACTTGCCACTGCCTCTGTTAAAGTATGCAATATGTTTCCCTTATGCTTAAATCATTCAAATTTCAAATTTTTTGAAGTTTTTCCATGACTTTGATCTTATATTGTAACAACTCGAATTGTGGTGAAGTTTTCTATCTTTTCCAATGACTTCGATCAATTCTATTTCTTTATTCATTTTAGAAAATAGATTTCAACTAAAAGAGCATTGTCATATGAATTATAGTTGCTCAGTTCAAGTATGCAGTAGTGTAGTCAATAGGCTCATAGTTATGATAATGCTAGAAAAATCGCCACTTCAACTCACTTGCCCCTCACCGTTGTGGGTTTAAATCCAGTCAGACTTTGGATTATTTCATATAAGTAAGCTAACCAGACAGCTTAAGGAAGGTTGATGGTTGTACTCGGGTGCCTGCTGATGCCTCAAATAATGCACAAAGGCGCACCTGAGGTCTTTCTCTACCAGTAAAGCTAGAAAGTCACCCATATTACCTTTATAGTGTCAATGTGACATGATCCAACAACAAAGCAAGAAAAAGAAAAAAATCCATTATTAATATGCACATAGAAAGTGAATGGTTGGTAATATGTTACCTATGGTAAAGAAGTAATTTTCTTGACATTAATTATTTAGTTTATGGACGTTATATTAATGTATCAACTGTCCATATTACTTCTTTCATATATCTTGGAATAACACACCCAAGATTTTCATCTTTGCTTAACAAGGAAGCTGGCTTAACAAGGAAAAATTGCAAGCAGTTGTAGAATATAGATTGCATTAATTTGGTTTTCAAAAACAACTTTATAATAACTTCAAAATCGGTTTCGGATTTGAAAACACGTGCAGAGTTCCTTTATTAAAAGACATTAATTTCAATGGTTTGAATTGTTTTTATTAGGGTACATTGATAAGAGTATTTGACATCAACAAGAAAACATTACAGCTAGAACTGAGGCGAGGAGCTGATCCAGCCAAACTTTACTGGTAAGTTTATAGCCTGACCTTCCTTTGTCTCTTTTGTAGAGCCAAGCTATATGTAGTTTGCATATTCATACAGTCTGACCAGGTTTAATACTGTTTGACTCCATATCATAATGCTCCTCACCACTTTTATATTGAAAATACAAAAACTGCAAAAATGTTTTGTGTATGAACGCTATCCAGTAAGATTTCAGAAGGTTGGTGGTTAACATTTGTAAATGCTTTGAAAAATGTACCAAGAGGCAGGGTTATTATCAATTTAGACAGAAATTTGCCGAAAGACCTTAACAGTGTGTGGGGTATTTACAAAAGACTGTATGAATTGAATGTACAATGCATCATGATAGTCTAAATATAAATTGGGAGTTACTATGCATTGAAAATGTTCTTTCATATTTTAGTTGACAGCAACATTGTTATACATGTATTTTCAGCATTTCATTCAGCCTGGATTCAGCTTACTTGTGTGCATCAAGTGATAAAGGTACAGTGCATATATTTGCTGTAAAAGAGACGGAACTTAATAAAAGATCTACGTAAGTACATGAACGTTCTAAAATATTTATTTGTTAGCAGTATCATACAAGTAGTGAGATGTGATTAATATTCCGGAATCTTCCATATACTTTGCTGTAAAAATAGGAATTTTTTTGTTTCTAGATGACCAAAATAACTTTTAAGACAGACCTTGATTAAACTCAGCAGTAGCATACATTTATTTATAGATAGCTTGTTAACATATTTATAGATTAAAGGGATTCTGTGGTTGAGTGGTTAAGGTCGTTGACTTCAAACCACTTGCCCCTCACCGCTGTGGGTTCGAATCCCGACAGGGACTTTGGATTCTTTCATGTGAGGAAGCTATCCAGCTAGCTTACGGAACGTCGGTGGTTCTACTCAGGTGCCCGTTCGTGCCTGAAAAAATGTTCAGAGGGGCACATAAGGTCTTCCTCCACCAGTGAAGCTGGAACGTCGCGAAATGACCTATACTGTGTCGGTGTGACGTAAAACCCAAATCAAACAAACAAAGGGATTCTGCTGAGGGTTTTTTACATGACAGAACTGTGACTTATTTTTGGAGATTACAGTTCCATTTAATGAAGGTCTAGATCAATAACTTGTGTACAAAATTTTAGATCAGTTGCTCACTTTGTTTTTCCAGAATAATTATTCTAATTGTGAAAAGTGACCCAAAATTGGGCTAAGTATAGCACACAAAAAAGGATTTTCAATATATTTCTGAGAATATTTCTTAAATTTTCTTTTGAATATCTTTGTTTTTGGTCTTTGTTTTTAGTGCCTTGACTGATCTAGTAAAAAATTTTTTTATGTGTTTAGGCTTAGTTGAGTTCCTTTAACAGTATACATGTATATCATTTTATGATTTGCTCTTTCAGGTTTAAGAAGATGGGTTTTCTCGGCCAGTATGTTGAGTCACAGTGGGGTTTAGCTAACTTTACTGTGCCTGCAGAATGTGCTTGTGTCTGTGCCTTTGGTCCTAGTCAATCTGTGATAGGTAAGCCAGGGATAAAAACTAACCATTTAAGCTTGGTGGCCACCTGGGCCACTGACTGTAAAATTTTGGTGGCCCAGTAAATATATTAGTGGACCAACAATTTCTGAACGGAAACGGGGCTAGCACTGGCAATTTTTTTTTAGCCATTTTTTTAGCAGCAAAAATTGTGTGCCTGTATTTTATTTTCAAATAAGGCAAAATTGTACGGCATGAGGTATTTAGAAAAACATAAACTATATTGCCTACTTTTATTTTGGTACCTACATTTTTTATCACATTAACACATCAAACTTATATAATTTACAGTCAATAATCATAAAAGCTTCCAGCTCAGTAGCTATAACATTTGCCTGGTTAAGTCAGTGGCATGACAGTAACAGCAGAAACACATTCCAATGTGCTGCTTCAGCTTGCTTGGTTAATGACAAAGATTTGGCTTGAAGACTATATGTATCTGAAATAATACAGAAGAAACAAATTTGAAAGTAAGAAGAGTGAAGAAAATAATATTGAAAATTCTAAACAAAAGATAATTCAGGAATAAAATAACATGTACTACTGTCATTATAAGTGTACAGGAATCAGTTTAAGTTATCTGACGGCATTTTGTATGTTTCTTAACTGAATCTTTCTATAATTTTTCACAGCCATAAGCCATTTATAAATGAATACTTCTGCAAGAGCTTTAGGGGTTACAAACTTAAATTTGATTTTAAGCCAAATCAAGGTCAATCTTTTTTCCCCAGGAATTCTCTGTAAAGCCAAATGTCAAATAAATTTCTTGTAAAGGCATAATTAGGTCAGAATTAAATGGCAATCACCCCCCCCCCCCCCAAAAAAAAATATAAAAAAGAAAAAAAAACACACACAAAAATATAAACCATTACTCTTAACTAATGATTTCTTTGATCTGTTTATCAACAACGATAAGATTTACTGAATGCAAACTTACCGTCAACAGGTCAAGTTGTCAACTGCAGAACATAATTTGTTGCTAATTCATACCCAAACTTCTGATTTGATTAGCGATAATCTTGAGTAATCTTGGGATGCCACTACTTATTGTTTCATATTAAATATTTAGACCCAATTTTCCAATGCATATTCAACAATCTGCCAGGTATGTTCACGACAATTAGTGTCATATTTATCAGCTGATGTAAACAAACGGTGAGGGCCAGTGTATTAGACTGTGTTACTGTTCATATCGATATTTAATACAGAAGGGAAGTTAAAAATATAAACCAGTCAATGACCCACAAGAAGCAGACTGTGTCGCTGTGTTTTGAGATAAGAAGCGGTAAAGCGGAAATGAAAAATGGAAAACCAAATGTGTACTTTTCCATTCTTAAAATAGCAAATGCTAAATTTAGACTGGAGATTCCAAAAGTCATACTTTAGTCGTGATTTTCTTGAGCCAATTTAATAATTTTGGAGCCAATTTGCTCATTTGAATTTTCACATGAGTTGATTTAATAGCGGATATTAATTTAATCTACGGCCTTTTTTTTAATCGCCGACTGGACGACTATTTTGAAATTTTTGGTGGTCCAATTACAAATTAAGTCGCCGTGGGCGACTGGGCGACCGCTAATTTTCAGCCCTGTAAGCCAAACATGTAGACAACGTTTCGTTTAACATAATGATTTTTAGATAACAGATGTTCTCTTTGGGGATTTAAAAGTGTTCAGTTAGCATGTAAAGAATTAAATTTTAGTTACTTATGACTAATACAGTCCTTGGTTTAAACTCTAGGGAGGTATTATTAAAATTCAAATGAAGGACCATTCCATACAGCTTTTGCAGGTTTGAATAATGCTCGAAGATTGTTTTCCCCATGTCAGGATTTCACTTACTTTGTCAAGAGTTGAATGTTTAGATGTTTATGGCTAGTAGTAAAATGAGTTCTACCATTGGTCAGTTTTAATCACATGATCAGGAATAACCAATCAAATGCTTAAGTTTAAACCTTACTGTATAAAAGATCAGATTGTTGTTACATGATATCTAAAGGATACTTAAGAGTTATTTCCCTTGTCACTTTTGCAAGATACAAAAAGATATCTGTGCCATTAAATTAATCTGAACTGTATTTAAGTGATATTTTCTTTTTATCTTTTTAAGCTATATGTGTTGATGGAACATTCCATAAGTATGTGTTCTCAAAGGACGGCAACTGTAACAGAGAGGCTTATGACATTTATTTGGACGTTGGCGATGATATGGAGTAATGATCACTGGAAATGTCTGTGTTTATAAAGGGACGGAAACAAACTATACAGATTAATGTGATAGGTGATTTGGTGTAGTGGTAAGGTGAAACCTGTGATGGAAAGATAAAAGTCTTAAGAATATCTGTGATAAAATGAGAATTTATAAATTCATTTGATTGGATGTGTGCAATATGGTTGTGGAGAATTGTTCTAACAGGTTTAATTTGTTTAGTATGTATTTAATTGAAAAATAGGTAAGATTATATATGGATTTAGATAGTTTTAAAGATATAGAGTAAGGAGTACAGTATTTGAAGACTTGGATAGCTTTGGTAATCCAAGCATTTAGCCAAATCAACATTTTGAACTAATTGCTAAGGTCAAGTAATTTCAAAGTTCTACTTTCAGTTCTGTTAAATTTATGTGATACTTAGTTAGTTTGGGAATACTTATTTTAATAAAAGTCTTCAGAATATGAAAAAAACACACAAAAGTTTACGCCCTTGCAAAAATTGTAATTTTACAGTAAGGGGTGTGACTGACTGCAAGATATGTTTGGAAATAAATCAAACATAATTGGCTACATTAAGGAACTCGATTTAAATCTATCTCAAAATAAAACATTCAATTGCATGCAGGGATGAAAATGAATTGTTTTCTTTTTTCATAATTGAATTGAATGTAAACTATTAAGAGCTGGAAAAAAAACGGACCTAGAACTAGTTTTATATACCAATTATTTTGTTTATTTCATATACATACTGACTCATGACTTGTATAAAAATTATACTAATCTTAAAATACACTAAAATTGCTTTCAAATTTGAATAGTCACCAGATTTTCCACAGATTTTTAGCTTGTCTGTTTCGAAGAATAAGTCAAGCTATTATGATCGCTGCATCGTTGTTGTGCAAAAACTTTTAATGTAGCACATTATTATTCAAACATTTCAAAAGGTATCAACATGAAACTTGGAATACTTACTTACGACGACAAGGTGCAGCTGTTAGACAAGGGACATAATACTGAAAGCAATATTTTTGGAGTTATGTCCCTTTTTACTTAAGAATTTGGAACAGACGAAGGTTAACACCTCATGTGGTGGTCTTGTTTATTTATAATGTAGATAATTTCTTTCCTTCATCTATGAAATTGTGTCAACTAAAAGCTCTGTCACAGTCCAGGGCTTACTAAGAATAAGCTACCAATACAAGTTTAAGCTAAAAGAGTAATACATGTCAACACCAGGACAGGTTTACAATATTTTATTAGTGTCAACTAGTTTAAGTCAATATTTGACCTTATTCAGGACAAATTAATGCTAAAATTTTTGCTATTAAAGTATGGAAAAAACAGCTACACTTAATGATGTTTGTTACTAAAATTAAAGTGTAACTAAATGTAGAAGTGATTTTGGCTGAATGCCAATGAGTCCTAGTAGACTGTATTACAATGAAAAGGTCTTATCTGCTGGCGAAAAGTCCATATGTTCTGTTGACAATGATGATTTGATGGGAAGATTAAATGAGACTTACCTTTGAAAAGGGGAAGTTGAAGTTTGATCAATATTTTATCAACTACAAGCCACTTTTGTCTGTAGTCAATCTTGCCCAATTATCAGATTATAATTGTCTTTTTCCAGCTTCAAAGTTGTCAGTGGTGTTTTTCAGAACAATATTTTTATTACTTACGTCTATTTCCGGTAATTTCGTTAGGCTTGTGATTTTTTCTGGCTCAGCCATTTGTAGTTGTTGTAGTTGGTTGGCTGCTTTTGGGAAGGTCTCTTTACAAATATGTGTCTGTAGTTTCAAGGTCTGTTGTTCTGACCTCCCCCTCTTTTCCCTAAAAGAGGCATGGATTTAAGATTTTGCGTCATCATTGGTGTTTTCTCATTGACGGATTTTGCATCCTCCTTCAAAGAATCCCCAAATTTGAAATAGTTGCGTGGCTGAGTTTGTAAGTTTTTAAGATTGGCCGGTCTCATGTGTATTTCTCTCCGAGTTCTGTCATTCGATTTTCATCAGGAGCAGCCCTCAAAGCCCTGTCGGTAATTTCTGCAATTTTGTCAGAGACTTTGTCACCAGTTTCTATTTTTTCCTTGAACTGATTGTCCAAGTCTTGTAAAATATCATCTTCATTCTCTCTGTCGTTGTCTCCCGTGTCATTTCCGTCCTCGGAAAATAAATCGTTAATTGAATCATTAATATCTTCAGATTCTGACTGAGATTGTATGGAATGTCTATCAGCCATGTCTTTAAAGTAGTGGTGAAATTAGTTCGAGTACTTGAAAAGTCATTGTCTTTATTTTCTGTTTAGCAGTAATGTTCATGTCCTTATGTGTTTGTTTTTTTTGTATAAGCCAGTTGGGGAAACAGCACCTGTCCTATTATTAATTAAAAAAATAATTATACACATGTTCTCCGAATTCTAGCCATTTTGTAATTGAATAACATTTTCTTCAAATTTACTTAAATTATTTGTAGGTATACCATAAAATCTTTATAAGACAGATGTACCCCATTGGTTATAAAGTGTTCTTATGATAGTCTTAAGGTTTTTGGTGATATAATAAAAAGAATTTCGGATAGATTGGTGAACAGTACAATTAATTTTCTTTTCTTTTTATGTCTTGTAATATTGGTGATTCTGAAAGGTTGTTCCGCCACTGTAGTTGTGGTAAGGTGTTGCACCTCATGATATGGGTGTCAAGAAGAGTTTCTCGTAAATATTTGATGTCTTTGTTGATAATAGACTAGTCTTTGGATCCTATCTTGCCCCCCCCCCCCCCCAAAAAAAAAAGATGTTTTTTTTGTTGAATTAATATCTACATAATAATAGTATATAAATTAATATTTACACAGTAATATTTTTAAATGTTTTAAAACTAATTGTAAGTGTTCATTAAATTATTTTCTTCCAAATGTAAGAATATCCTGACTTAGATATCATGATTGCTTTGTATAATTCATATGTGATGTTTATCACAAAGAATAGTTTTACTAAATAATCTGACCATATAGTGAAATTAGGAATACACAAGTCAAATGAACAACAACAAGCTTTTTAGTTCAAACTATAGATTAAATTGTGTGAATGAATATATATATATGTTATCTAATTATAATTATGTTAAAGATTACTTTAAGTTCATTGAAAGAATTTCCCTACGTTAATAAGAACAGATATTTAAATTATAACCAATATTTATTTTGCAATAAGCATTAATAAAATGATGAGAAATAAATTCTCAAATTATAATAAAGCACTAAGGTTTCGAAAAAGTACCGGTAGACAGATACACCTAGCCAACAAAATGAAGAAATGCATGAGCTTATGTAGACAATACAACATGCAAAAATCACATGACCAAATAAACAATCAAACATTGGATTAAAATAGGAGGAAAATAACGAATGAATGAAGCCGTAACAAATTAACTTTAGTGCTTTTTTTATTTCTGGAATGTTCAAAGGACTGGTGTGCAAATGGTTTGATAAAGAGGAGTAGTTTTATTGAGTAGAGTTGCATACTGTCTGTGCGTGTGTCCCTCCACATAGCCTGCAAACGTGACTACCTACAAGGGATAAAAGGACAATTACGACCAGTGTTAAAATAATTACATGCAAGTAAACCTGCTTTAGGACTGACCATACGCTGTTTGAAAAGCTTTGATGTTGGGGGGCCTGATACTTGAGTGGTAGGTTGTCTGATAGCGGGCCTGGTTTGACCTGTGAATTCCTGTGCCCTAGTTACATGACCATTAACATGGAGCAACCAAAGTTTGAGGTTGATGGTGCCCCATGAGCTAGAGGGGTTATAAGATTTGTTTTGGTGGAATTGTTCGTCATATTTCCACCAAGAGTCAGACCTTGTGGCAGTCAGTCGTATGTCCCGGAGGTATTTCAACAACTCCTGGGACCTGTTGGGGAAGCGTTCGATGAAAATGCTTATGAATACTATGAAAGCCGATGACCACTGTTCAACTGACAACTTAAATGTTGACCCCCTCTGCTTTGTTATGCATAACTTTCCATTTTTTATTTGGAGTTCCCCGAAAGGGCCATCATCAGCATAGTCATGCAACTGACTGGTGGATTTTAATAAAATTGACATGTCTATAAAGTTGCCAGCCCAAACTTTTTCATTGATCTTTTGGGGTATTCCACTTCCTAAACTTGTAAAATCATCTGAATTAGTATGATTTGTAGCCGCCGAATTATTGATATAATATTGTCGAATGGCTCAAAACTCGTAACTGGCGGCATTGGAAAGATAAATTGAGCCGTATTAATATTACCTTGCAAAGATTCGGCAGCGGCCGCATCGACATCGACACCACCTTGCAAATGTAATGCAATGCTTGGTCTGGCATTTCTGTCATACGAGGTTCTCCTCTGCCACGCTTTGGCAATGGTGTGGCTGTATTTGAGGCGGTTTGTGACCTTACTCTTTTTCCACGGCCTCTGGGCATTTTCTTTTATTTGTGCGTTTTTTATTTTCTTAGCACGTTTCTTTGGCAAAAGTTCCCGGATAATGGTAAACCTCCTTTGAAGAGTATCCAGTAGGGTATAATTCCGTACTACGGTACCGGATTAAACACACACCTACCTACCCTATAGATGATGCGTTTAAGAAGAATTATCGAATACAAGATTCTATATAATCGCCATTAACTTAGGCATGAATGACAAAATGGCTGCGCCCATAAAATAACAATAATTGAATGCAGTGTAAGTAATAACCAAAAGAATTTAAGTTAAATACACATTTAAGATGCAAACTATTACATTCCTTCCTCCTTAAATGTAAATATTGAAAATATTTAACAAAAAAAACTTATATAAAAGGAGAAAGAATTACCTTGATCAAGATGAACCAAATACCTTTATTTATTCTTACTTAATATGTGACCAAATCTTATTATATGAAAAATTAAAGCACTTTTATTTTCTAAGTAAAACCCTATTTTCAGTCTAAGTGAAAAATAACTTCTATAAAAAACTCAAAAATTTACTATCAGCTTTATTATAAAACATTACACAAATAAACTTTAGGAAAAGAAAATGCATTTACACATAATTGTAATGACCATTAACAAAATGATTTAATCAGTTAAATTTGATATCATCAAAGTAGTCCAATTCCTCAGGAGTAAAACTATCTTCCCCCAAAAAATGTCCCTCCTACCTTTCCTCCTCTCCTCCTGATCTTTAACCTTCTCTCCTCCACATTCTTTTCTTTCCTTCTTCTGAAGCTCACTTCTCTCCTCAGCTGTAAGGTAGCAAGGTTTTAGGGTATTTCCCTTCCGCCTGAAGTTTACACTAACTACTCTTTTCAGTTTACATGAGTGACTTTGGCCAAACTGACGAGAATGTTGCCTCCTGTCAGTTGCCCTCTGGAAATTTCTATGACAATTCATACAGTGGTACATGGTGATAATAGGGTGATGGAACCTAGACCAGTGCTCAGAAAAACAATTATATCTAAATAGTCTAACTCCTTGGGAGTAAAACTCACAATTCCCCCAAGATTGTCCGTCCTGCCTTTCCTTGGGATATTTCCCTTCCTCCTGAAGTTTACATTAACAACTCTTTTCAGTTCACATGAGTGACTTTGGCCAAACTGATGATAATGTTGTCTCCCGTCAGTTGCCCTCTGGAAGTTTCTATGGCAGCTCATACACTGATACGTGGTTACAATAGGATGATGGAACCTAGCCCAGTGCTTAGCTGTTTTGAGCACCTGTGTAAACACGTGTAGACAATAGGTTAATAGAATCTATCGTTGGGTTAGATAGAGGATAGGGAAATCCCACCCCGAGGGTGATCGGTTCCATCGGGAACGAACACTATTCGGGCAGATATTAGTTTTTTTTAAATATGCTGTGCACAAATATTACAATATAAAAAAAACAAACATTGATACCTATTACTGCTCATTTTCATTTTCCGTTGTTTCTTGTAACTCTTCTAAAAAAATTTGTTGGTACTTTGAAATTATTTCATTGATTTGTGAATTTTGAAATTTCTTTCCATTTTTTTCTAAAGCAATAGTTATTTTTAATGAATCTTCAATTCTTTCGTAATTATTGCACTTTTCTGCAAGTTC